GTATTTCAGCATCATGCAAAATGGCGTTAATGACGAAGTATAATTGGCCATTATAATCAGGACTGTAAGTGTATAGACTGCAACGCCTGTTTCTTAGATATACATGTATGAAATAGCGAAAAAGGAATTGGAAGTGTACTCATCTTACGCGGCTTTAGAGAATGAATAGTATGTTTTGGACAACTAGCAGACTGGACTTGGTGGTGAACTACCATATAACCGGCGTTTGAATGTACATGCAACGCTTTAAAACCTAAAACTCGCCAAGTGTTTAGCCCCCATGACATGCAGCTCTAGGTGGCTGTTTGACGTTGCCGGAAATGGACGATGACGCCTCGTTCTGACTTCATCTTCATAACATAGTAACCGTTGTCGTTGCCAACGTCCCCTCTGTTTTTAACAGATTCACTATCGCTCTTGCTTGCTATCGCTCTGCATTTCGTTGACTACAACATGGTTTCGAGGACTTCTACTAACAAGATGTTTACTAGGCTGCATATTCAAGGTATTTGAGAAGACAGTTATTGTATTTTAAAGTGTTTAATATGTAGATTAGTACTGTAACTGGCCATAGTTTGACAGCGGCATCGGTGGGCATGACACTGGCCGCCATTTGCAATTTGTAAAAATTGAGAAATGTGTATCTATTTAATGTCTTTTCTGCCAATGAAATGAGAGCTGTCGGTATTTATATATGACGGGCGATGTTGTTAAACTACTATAGATGTTTTTCACATATATAAGACGTAGCTTTAGTATATTTTTATGTGTAAACTTCTCTTTCAAATGTGCGGCCTATAATGGCATTACTGTAAGACGCAATGTATATCCACACAAGGATTAAATGCCAATTTTATTTCCTCTAAAACATTCTCGTGGCCTATACGTGTCCCAAAAGAGTCTCTTTTGACACTTTGGTCTCTGTTATCGGCAATTCGCGTGTGTTGCTATCTTTTTGACGGCCCCCCAAATATTTTGGTTCCATTGTACATGGATTTAATGTGCATTTAAATGTGATGTTTTGGTTATTTTCAGCACGGGAAGATATGATCCGGTATCATGTCACTCCTGCTGCGAGTTTATGGCCGTCGCTGGATGAGGAATCCGACTGTGTATGTTTCTTATTCACCTGTTCTTCATGATCGACCGAATAGCTTGCTTCTTTTGTCCTTGTATCGATGTCCTCTTACTATTGACATTATGTTATATTTCCACTGTTATGGTGTGCTGAAAAGCAGTCTCAGGGTACCCTTCTCCCATTTACACACTAAGATTTCAGTCTATCAGCATGTTTGTCGTGGGATACCGTCTCATGGCATGTGTAATCAGGGGCTATGCACTCTGACTTTCTCTTGCAATTTGTCATTGAAAATCTCCTATAAACCTCGCCCAATGACCCTACTTTCTCCCATCCTCCCACTCGCCGATGTAGCGTCCCAAGGCTGCGTCCCCGACCCCCTCTCCCAACCCCCTGAGTGTTTTCACCCCGTTCTGGGCCCGCCCTGACCACGGCGAGACGCTCCCTGCCCCAGTCACCATCACCTTCGTCGATTACTATCTTGCCCCTAGTGACGACGACAGTGACTACTGGGTCTATGAGGACGAGGACGACGACAGCTTTGTGGAGGACCGAGAGGTTCATCCTCTGAGGAAGGCACTGAGGAGAGTGACTGCCTTCTGGAGGAGAATCTTCTCGTAGATTTCTCATCCAGTGTGTGTGTGTGTGTGTGTGTGTGTGTGAGAGAGAGAGAGAGAGAGGGGGGGGGGGGGGGGGGGGGGGGGGTTGCACGTGTGATTGTATGTGAGTGTGTATGGGTACGAGGATGCGTTGTGCATGAGTGATTGCGTGAGCATGGGATGAGTTTTACATGAGTGATTTTGTCTGCATGTGAGAGAACGCATTTTGCATGAGTGATTGCATGTTAGTGTGAGGTGCAGTTTTTTACATATGACAGGACGTGCTTTTCATGTGTGATTAAGTGCATGTGTGAGAGGAAGTGTGTTGCATGTGGGATTGTGTGTGCATGTGACAGAATGTTCTTTGCATGTGTGATTGGATGTATGTGGGAGATGATGTATTTTGCCTTTGTGATTTAGTGTGAGTGTGTATTGGTGATGAAGATGTGTTTTGGATGTATGGACGGATGTGAGTGTCTGTGTGTGAGAGGATATGTTTTGGTGCCATTTTATAAACTCATTTCACCCTTTTGGTCTATTTTGGCTTCTTCCATTTGGCTTATTTTTAGACACATTATTTCGATCTAGTATGTTTTGGCATATCCTTTGGCTGACATTTCTAAGTTTATTTGTCTCCTAATAAGAGAGGACTGTTCCTTTTTGGCCCCGATTCAGATATTTTCTTTTGGCACATGCCATTCTATTTCTTGATTACACCTAAATAAATATTAGTGAATGGTATACACACGAGTCTGTTTTCCTTCCTTCCTTGGATCTAATAACGACAAGATGACAGCAACACAGCAGGAGAGGCGGCTGAACCGAGTCTGGTCTTAAGATATCTTGAAGTTGTTATACAGAGTAAACTAATCAACAAATGGAGATATTTAGGGGGTCATTTGCCCTATCCCGCTTTGTTGCTGTCTTCTAGCCGAGTATTTTACGAGCTGTCTGTGATGGCAAACCCGACGTCAATAGATGAACATGGGTTGCCATAGCTTCGAAGCTGATGTCGGAACACTGGTTATTTTACGATTACTTCACTTACTATATGTTTCATGCACACATGAATGATCGAGAGTAATCTCCCTTCGCAGTTCGTGGCTGTTTTGCCGACACCGAGTCTGTAATAGATATATTCTAAGACTTAAAGGGGGCTTGTGCTCCTCGTCTAGTGCTTATTGTCAGTCAAGGTATAGACGTAGTAATAAGTGCCTTGTATGATACTGGGACAATTAAGGTATTCTTTTAACTCTTAACATGCATTAGTATTATAAATATACGGCCCATATATAACCATGTTTGATTTCAAAAGTAAGGAAGCTTCAAATCAGCGTGAGGCGTTTAATCTTCTCTGTTGCTTAACCGTGGCCTTTGTCAGTTTAACACGCCTTAGCCAGATGATACATCAGGTTCACTGACCAAATACATGCACGCCCAACCAATACTGAATGTCAACACCGGTCGATCATTACGAGCAGGTTAACACTTACTTTGCCTTACAATTAAACACCCGGGGCCCTGCCTTGGTATTTGAAATGAGCGGGAGCATAGCTAGAAATATTATGTAGAGCCGGCGTGAAATTCTTAATCGAATCATGAGCACAATTAACAAACTGGTTCCTGTAAGTATGTTAATCAACTTCCATCTCTCGTGTATTAGTGGGGAATGGATGGACCTCCAGCTTCTTCTCGGGCAGTGAACAAAGGGAGACCACTCTGGTTGGATTATTAGCGCGAGTTAAGTAGCAGGAGCTTCTTAGATGTATTGCGCAGCTTGTCTTTCCGAAGCTACCGGCAACGCACATTACGAACTACACACGAGGAGACCGTTCCTAGGTCGGATAAATTGTCTTTGCCAGCAATTAAATACGTTCACATGTTAGCCAGTTAATACTCGGCGTCAAAACAAACACAACCTGCCCTTCTTTTTATCACCTAAAGCCAAGAGATGCATGAGCGAAGGCCCAAACGAACTCATTTCTGAGAGATGGACAGCTACTCGAACGTATATAAACAGAGTAGCCAAAGATAAAAAAAATGAAGTCATTTCAATATACGAAAAAAGAATCAATACAAAACAGAATCTTAATGAACACCCAAAGTGACACTATATCAAGATCTAGATATGTGTACCCTACTGACACGTACACGAGTCCCAAAAAGGAACAGGTCAGCCGACATTGCTGTGACAGATGGCGACCTCTTAAACACCTGAAGCAACAACAACAACAACAACATCAACAATGCAGACAAAATTGAACAGGAAAAGCTTGATGTGTGGCCAAATGTCTCACAGAAATGCTGAAATTCAAGGCGTCTTTAATAATTCACTGATTTTTCACAAATTGACTCGGTGTACACCAGACATTTCACGTTGAACCAAAAGTTAAAAATACACTTCGAACAATTTTACATTGTGTGTATATCCAATTTAATCTCACAGAAGCCCCATAGTACAAAATTATCTTCTCCAACTAATATATAGGGAATATGAACAATCGGCGCCCTTGATGTCACACCCACACCTAAACACACACGTATGTAGGTATCCCGTTGGAGGAGCTCTATATACTATCGCTGCCAAGCTTGGGACAAGTACAAGCTCCTTCAACACGCGTGACACCTTCGTTGCACTCTAGGTAACATCGCTGTGGGCGGGCCATTACAAGAATCTTGAAATTTGCCCTCTAACCCCATACGTAGTAACGTTTATACTTTTGTTTATGTCTTTTGGAATGCCATCATCTTGAATTTTGAAAAGGTTTACGACTGACCATATTTCCCACATGAATTACCTTTTTGTTTGTTTAATCAGATTGGTTCGAGATTGGAGACGAACAGAAAATCAACCAACTTCCCCCTTACATTCTTACTATACTAATTACATGATAGTTGTAATGAAACAGAAATTCAAATTGACAAACAAAGACGGCAGTCATCACTTGTTTGTAAACATAACGGTCAATCGGCTGCGAGTTCAACCCCAAGCATGGTAGCCACCTATAACAGTGGGGAGCTTTGACTGGTGGCAGCGATATTATAGAGAGCTCCGCGAACGGCATATCGCTGTGAGGAGCTTGGGAAGGACAACAAAGGGAAGTCACTCCTATGAATTCAAGCGGAAAATCTTCAGCCGAGAAGGTCCGATAATAAAATAATCTCTAATGCTAAAGGAATAAGAAACTCTCTTTTTGAAATTAAAACATATCTAAGTAGGTATAACTTATCATTAGATTTAGTATAGATAATATGAAACGCTTGTCCTTCTTTCAATACCGCGTAGGAATGAACAGACGGAAATTATATTTTTAGGCGATATGGTTTGAGGCTAACTATTGCATAAACATTGCCATGTGTTTGGCGGGTAGTTCTGTCAATAGGCCTTTGAAAACGTATTCCTCGTTTCCAGGTAATCACAGATATTGTCATATGGTTTTCAACGAATAATATATATAAGTATTAAAATATATACTTCCCCCTGTCTAGGCTACTGATTACAAATGAGAGACACGAAAGATTGGAATCTTTATCAGCTGTTCTGTAGTGAAAGTTTGGGACATATTATAAATGTGACCCAGTTTTGCCTTGTGGCAATGGTTAGTATAGGTTACTCCAAACCCTATCCTTAGCCCTTGGATCCCCTCTCTGAACACACACGTTACCAGTTAAGTACCTCATTCGATCTTTAGGTTTGGATTATATTCCTCACTTCTTTTGATGAATGTTTCCAACGTGAATCCAATGTGAGGCAACATTGAAGTTGACCGGGGTCGGCCTTTAAAGCGCTAATTGCTGCCGGCTGTGGTTTTCACAGATCTCGCGTGCCTCATCAGTTAGTTGTGTTGGGGTTTGGGTAGGTACCATAACTCTTTCCTTAGCCCTTGTATCCCCTTTCCGATCATGGAACCCATTACGTTCATTAGGGTTATGCGTACACCTTTCCCATCAAACAGCCGTTCACGATCCTAAGGGTTGAGCACCACTTGCCCTATACACCTATGCAATGCTAAGGGTTAGGCACTCCCTTTAGCATCATTAGGGTTAGTTGTTGGGTAGGGTATGCATGTGTTAGCAATATTTTATTAACATTTTTTTCCAGTGTAAATTGATGCAAATCTGTAAATTTATATCAAGTTTCCACTTGCACAAGGAAAATGGCTATTGTAAAGATAAATATAGGGTGCTTATTCATCATGTTTTGATGGAAAAAGTGCATTTACACTGAATATCCGTATGATCATTTACATTTATGCATTAATCAGTTGTTTATCTCATGTTAACGTTTTGGCTTATTAGCTCTTTAATTGAGCCTACATTGAAGCTGGCAACACAAGTTAAATCCTCCTATATCTGAATGAAGACAGCTGGAATCCGAAAACACTGGTGCCCCGAATAATGTGCACAACTCAAGAATATTTGTTTAAATCTTTCAATGAATCAAATATCAATGTCTGACATTTGGATTACCTTGACATGGGTTTTCATCCATCTTCTGTAACTGTAAGTCCATTAGAAGTGGTGCAAAATGAAACATGTCAAAAGTACTGAACATAGCGATATCATATTCCCATCACATATTCCACCATTGTCTCTGGTCACAACAAAATATTTTTTCATTTTCGAAAATGCAAACTAGCTGCTGACACAGCACATTTTTAAGTAGAGTACAGCCTTCATACATTAACAGTGTAACAACTTTCTCATGTGATAGTTAGAGTAATACTTAGCAGGCCTCGATATGAGGAACTTGATTCAACTTGCACCAAGTGCATGTTGACATGAAAATGTACTTGCACCACCCAAAGGATGTATATAGATGTACGTCTTTGAACCAGACATAAGCAGGTTGAAACCTGGTACAAGTTTATCAAAGTTGAAACATAGACATGACAGATGCATAAAACTAGTCTAAATAAATAAAATATGTGTCATGATTTTGCGTAAAATAATCATGTATTGCTGTGAAAGCACATAATCTTGAAGTACCTCAGTTTGATAACTTCAAGCCCAAGAAAGCATGACAAATTACACATAACACAGGGATTAGTAATGTTGTATGATATATAAGCTTAGAGGTATTGAGTGTGTTCAAAGATCATTTTTGTGTGGAAAAGTAAGTGTTAGTCGGACACAAATTTGAGTTCTTTGTATATAAGGATGCAGTTTTCAATAATAGGCTGCATTGGTGCCTGTTTTATATATTTAAATTGGGCCCTGGTTAGTATCTGAAAATAATATATTTTTATAGAAACAAGCAGCTACATATAAATTGAAAGGGAGCACCAGTGAGATTGGAGATTCCTGAACCTTGGGACAATCTAGACTTGCTTCATTTAGGGCTGAGCGGAAGGGCAAATAGTATGGTTCAGGGACTGTGAGACAGACTAGCGACAGGTTTGCTCCAAGTGAGTGTACTGATAATTACTGACTTTGTTGATGCATGTCATCGTATCCCAATTGCGTGGATCGATGCCCATGATGTCAATCACTGGATTGTCTGGTCCAGCCTCGATTATATACAGACCGCCGTCGTATAGCTGGAATATTGCTGAGTGTGGCCTGAAATTTGGTTCAAATGTCAGTAAAATTTCCAAAATTGGGATTACAAATTTGCCATGTCATTTTATTGTAGTGATAATTGGAGGGTTTTGCTGATAACAGGCAGGGATAGAAATTTACCCTAAAGTCTACAATCCAAAATAGTGAAAACATAGCCATACCCCACAAAGTGTTAAAAGATATACTGGCCCTTAGGGAACCTTTAACATTAACGAAGCTGGTCTGGGCTATGATGCGTCTTTAACATTAAATATCCCTGAAGTTAAGAAAATAATAACTTTTTAGAAAATTCCACTTTTATATAATTTTCCCAAATTGGTTGCCAAAGGAACTTAGTTTAGCATCCTAGATAAGTCTCACCAAAATTGAAACCTTCTTTCACAAATTTACACCCGACGATATGATACATGATATAACTACCGATGTATCGATTCATGTTTAATTTCTGTATCAAGTTTCAATGCCTAATAACCAGTAATAGCACAAAAGTGCTTAATCTGGTTGTAAGATTCCACGAGAAGCAGCCTACATTAACCAGCTATGCAAACAAAACACCAACTGCATGAGAGCAGCAGCCTCAACATGTAGAATTTCCTGCAAAGACAGAGTGGATAACTTATCCTGATATGTATCAGATCTTGACTCAAGATTCACTATGTGTATCGATACGTGATGTATCATGTAAGTGTATTGTGACAGCTTTGCAGAATGGCACTCGCCCATAAACCATAGACAGTTTATCCAATGTTAAGAGGTTAGAGTACAATTTCAGACTTTTAATGGGTAGTCCTTATACGTTGTCACTATTACCATGACTACGGCTGGTACTAGTATATGCAAAGCATCTTCCCGAGGCAAGAGAGTTAACTGACTATTAAAGATCAGTTTCCACCCTTGCCGAACTAGGTTGGAATTACTGTGCTCGATCGTAGCACCACCAGTGGCTATTACCAGTTATGTCCCTTCTAAGCCTCTCCTATGGACCAATCAGATTCCAACTCTCGTATCACTTGCTTTGCTTCACACAAAATGGTGGCGCCTGGTCAGGACGATCTGAACTCTTTAATACCAGCCTAGTTCGGGAAGGTAGGAAACTGGACTTTTAGTCAGTCTCGGGAAGATGCTGCAAAGCTACATGGCCATGCCCTTGTGAAGTTTTATGGAAGTGGGTCTGATTTTTAAAAATTAATAATTCAAAATATACTACTCAACATTTGCTAAGGCCCAAAATAGTCACCTTTAGTGAAAGGTGTGGCCCTTGGCAAGTGTTGAATACATGTAGTATGTGATGTTGTGTATTCTGACAATTTCAGCCTTATGATGCCTCCAAAGAGAAAAACGAGAGAACCTGTGAAAAAGCTAACTGATAAAGAAACGAAGTTAGTTAATCATGATATTGAAGAAAAAGATAGTACCCAGAAAAAATCTATAAAAGGGAATAAAAATAAAAATATAGAACAAAATGAAAAGAAGACACGTCCTGTTAGGAAAAGGAAAAGTGAAGAAAATATAAACCAAAATGTGCCATCAGCTAAACAGAAACGAAAAGAAGAAATAGAAAATGCTGTGAGTGAACAGAAAAGTTCGAAAGGAAAAAAATCTAAATGTGGTGATTTCACTCTGGAAGGTTCGCAGGGGAAAATACCTGTGACAAATACAAAGAAAATTCTTAAAAAACATGCTGATTCCACGGATGGTTTGAAGAAAGGAAAGAAAATATTGAAGCGTAAAGATGACTTAACACTAGATGGCAAAACTAAGTCAAAACAGGAAGATATAAGAAATAAAGAAGAAATTATTAATGAATCGTTGAATGAAAGTGACAGTGAAGAGGATGATTTTGAGGAAGTAAAAGACAAGTCCATTAAGGAAATAAAAGTGGAAATGGTTGCCTTGGAGACAAAACCTGATATATTGCATCCTGTTGGTGTGATGAGTGATTCAGATGACTCAGACTTTGAAAATGTCGAAAATGTGGGATCCAAAAAGGATGAGGCTAAAACAAGTAAAAAGAAACCTACAATTACAAGGAAAACTCTCAAAACTACGCCATCCGCAAAGAGAAGAAGTAAATCAAGTTCAGATGTTAAAAGCAAACCTGGAACCCGAAAACGGCAGAGTAGAAAAGGTGCAGCAGAAGCGAAATCTAAGTATTCCAAGATGGATGAAGTTAAGGCTGAAGCAGACCTCACTTCAGCCACCAAACTTGACGATATTGATAAAGGGGATGTGACGGCCATCTTGTTGAGAATGGAAGGTGCAAGCTGCTCTCAATCAGTAGCTTCAGGTGAAGGTCAAGGTGAGAGGAAGGTCAAAGGGTTAAGGTCATCAACTGAAGACGAAGATGATGATGATGATGATGAGGAAGAAGATAGTGAAGACTGGGAGGAAGTGGAAGGTAATTCTTTTCCATAACATACTGGGGTAGTTTGGTAGCCTTTTGATTGAGGCTTTTGCTTGTCAAGTCGAAGGCCCGGGTTTGATTCCCGACACGGGTACAATGTATGAAGCCCATTTCTGGTGTCCCTCACCGTGATATTGTTGGAATACTGCTAAAAGCGGCGTGACACCTCGCTCACTCACCCACCCATGAGCATGGGTATGGTGCTGACAAACCTAGAAACACAATCGGGGTGAACTGGGATTCGAACCCACAATCATAGGTTTCTGGCGTGCTGTGATATTGCTGGAATTTTGCTGAAAGTGGTGTAAACTCCAAATAACATGTTTATGTTGAACTTGATTGAGATGACAGTGCTGTAAGTTTTTGAACAAGTTATTGTCTTAACTATACTTCATGTTATTTATCACTGTTAATCAATTCCTAGGTATTTCTAGGCATGTCTTATGTATGCTCAGTGCTTAATGTCCAATTCTCCTTTCGTTCAGATCACAAAGGAAGCCAGTTAATATCTCGGATTCCAACAGAGCCGGTGGAAATCACACTAGAAGCACCTGATGTCATGAGGAAGAAGAGGTAGTGTAGTCTTCAAGGAGACTGATATATTCATTGACAAGACAATATTGGTGGGAATTGTCTAAGTACATTGTATGTTTGTAGAAGGATTGTCTTGATAATGTTACTTCAGTACTGGGTCCGATGAGTGTCCTCTACCTGTCATAGGGGGCGGTCGGGTAGCCTAGTGGTTAAAGTGTTTGCTCGTCACGCCAAAGATCCAGGTTTGATACCCGACATGGGTACAAGGTGTGAAGCCCATTTTCTGGTGTCCCCACCTTGATTGGCTTGAATATTGCTAAAAGCGGCGTAAAACCTCACTCACTCACTCACCCTGTCTTCCCCTCACAAGAAAATACAGGGCAGCAAGTTTGGCCAATATGATTTGAGTGAGTGAGTTGGGTTTAACACCGCTTTGAACAGTATTCTAGTTATATCATGGCTTGTCAGCTTAATATGGGAGGAAAGCCCAAAGTGATGCAGGTCTTAAACGTTTACCACTTCGGTGAAACCCACAAGCACGGGTATGGTGCTGACAAACCTAGAAACATAATTGGGGCGAACCAGGATTCGAACCCACAATCATAGGTTTCTGGCGTGCCCAAGGGACGCAACTCTGCAATGCGCCTAAGATGACTGGGTCACTCGTGCCCCCAAATATAATTTGAACCTGATTACTGTTCCATTTTGTTATTTGGCTATACAGTTGTACATGCTAAAAGTCTCATTGCGTCCCCGAATCCAAATTACCCAGATCAGTTAGTGATGTTTTATATTCCCTGGGATTATTCCACGTCAGATTTTGTTTTTGTTTTTAGATGTTGTATTTCTAATGAAAAGAAACCAAACCTCTAATGTGCATGTGTTTTTTTAAGGAAAAAGAAGAAGTTTGACTGGCTTGGTTACATTCAGCGAACAATGAGAAGGTTTCAGAAAGATGTTCGAATTAACATGCATAAGGTAAACTTGTATGTATTGAAGTGAAGTAGTTTTTGTGAATTGTTGCTGATACTCTGGCCTTACTAATCAGGGACCCGTGAAGATTCGGGGTAGAACAGCAACCAAAGCTTCAGCAACCAAAGCTTGTTGTAAAAGGCGACTATGCTTGTCTTAAGAGCTGACTAATGGGATCAGGTGGTCAAGCTTGCTGACTTGGTTGATACATGTCACCGTATCCCAATTGTGTGGTTAGATGCTCATGATGTCAATCACTGGGTCGTCTGGTCCATACTTGATTTTTACAGACCTCCGTCATGTAGCTGGAATATTGCAGAGTGCAGTGTTAAACAACAAACAAACCTTACTTAGCTTGTTTGATATTTTTTCGTTCACAAAGTTTGGGGTAAGGCTTATGTGTGCCTGAAATCTACCATGGTGGGTTTCAATTCCAGGTTCCCCCTGACCTGTGAAGATCCGGGGTAGAATAGGTCTTCAGCAACCCATGCTTTCCGTAAAAGGCGACTATGCTTGTCGTAAAAGGTGACTAACGGGATCGGGTGGTCAGGCTTGCTGACTTGGTTGATACATGTCATCGATCCCAATTGCATGGATCGATGCTCATGTATGAATCACTGAATTGTCTGGTCCAGACTCGATTATTTACAGACCGCCGTCATATATCTGGAATATTGTTGAGTGCGGCTTAAAACAATCAACCAACAAACCAGATTCCCCCTGATTGTTTCTAGGTTTGTCCGCACCATTTCATGCTCATTGACTTCATCATAGTTGTAAAAAGTTTTGAATCCTTTCAGGCCACCCAACACACCAACTCATTCATTATTTAGCACTCCTTGACCACTGACCAGTGTGTGACAGTTGCAGTGTTTGATCTTCACAGGTGCATCTTCTGTGTCTACTGGCCCACGGCTTCCGTCAGAGCAACATCTGCAACGCCGACACGCTGGAGGCACAGGCCATCTCGGTCATCCCGGCCAGGTTTACTCATGGCGTCGCGTCCTGCAGCTTCGAGGGGTTGAGGCAGATTGTCAAGTGGTTCCGCGAGGAATTCCCCCTCCAGGCCAAGTCTCAATACTTCGATGGTGATGAAAACAATACTGGATTGGTACGTAGCCTGGTGTTGGCAATTCTCACAGGATTTGTGATATATGACATCACCAGAAAATAATGGATTCTTATGAGATGACAATTTTATTATCCTGTATTATCAGCAGAATTTCTAGGAGTGTCCAAATATCGAGTTTTACCTTACCCATGTTACCTGACACTACACCTATATCACTGTGTAGCGTCAGGTAAGTATAAAAACATTGCATTTAATCAGAAACGCTCATTTTTAAACTATATATAATTTGTTTGACTTGATAGGCCAGATGTCAGCAGCTTTTTGTGAAGGGAAGTTACCATATTCTCATGGGGGTGGGACCGCCTCCGTGGTCTTGTGGTAGAGCGTCCGCCCGGAGAGCGGAAGGTCCAGGGTTCGATCCCGGGCCGCGTCATACAAAAAGACGTTAAAAGATTGTACTTGTTGTTACCCTGTCTGGCGCTCGGCATTAAGGGGCTAAAACAAGGACTGGTCGGCTCGGAGTCAGTATACTGTGTCTGAGTGGGGTATTCATGTCAAACTGCGGCATGGTATCTCAGTGAGCTAGCACTATAAATCGGCATCAGTCCGGACTAGTACAAGCAGCCACACACACACATACACGTGCATGCACGTCGCTATATAAGTGCAATAATCTTGGACGCGACGTTAAACCCAATTTCACCTCACCTCACCTCATGGGGGTGGGGGAATTTACCATGCAGAGTTTAGCCCCTTAGGTATGCCAGGATCCTATAATGTCAGTTCAAATGTCAGATTCCACCTGATTACCTGTTTTTGTGTTTTTGTGTTTTTCACCAAAGTCGCCAAGCCTGACCACCCACTGGAATACTGTTCAAAGCGGCATTAGACCCAACTAACACTCACTCACTCGCTCACTCACTCACTCACTCACTCACTCACTCACTCACTCACTCAAAGATACTGTATGGGAACAAAAGGTTATGAGATTGAAAAATGTCATAATCATCATTGTTTTGTTACCCATGTGGTGTTCCACTGTACCTCATACTTGTCATCAAGCAGGATCAAGCTCAGTTGTTTGGGGTCTGTCACTTGGCTGATAGCAAGTTACTGTTCTGGCGATGTAGATCGCATGTTCCCGAGGCAAGGGAGGTAACTGACTGTAAAAGTCCAGAAATGCCATAATTTCATCCATAGTTCAGCAAGGTTTTTATAGTCAGTTAACTCCTTTCCCTCAGGAAGATGTGTGGATCGTTGCTCATGCTTTCAGTCACTGGTTTACTTGGTTCTGACGCTATTGTTTACAGGCTGCTGTGACACAACAGGAATATTGCTGCTAAACAACATTCTCTCACTCACTCACTCACTCACTCATTCACTCCTGAATGTTGTTTTATTTGTCATTTGTATCGTGTAGATTAACCAAGCCCAGTTAGAAGCAGCCATTTCAACACGCCAGATTTGTGATGGCAGAATTCTTGCAATTGTAAGTATTATTCCATCTGTATGTACTTTTTGCCCTGTAATATCGGTTGTGGTGTGTTCCATGTAGTTCCACACCTGCAATAGCCCATAGTCCATATTCTATATTGTGGGAGACCCGTGAAGATCCGGGTAGAGAATAGGTCTTCAGCAACCCATGCTTGCCGTAAAAAAGGTGACTAACGGAATTGGTTGGTCAAGCTCGCTGACTTGGTTGATGCATGTTATCGTATCCCAATTGCGTGGATCGATGCTCGTGATGTCAATCTTTGGATTGTCTGGTCCAGACTCGATTATTTACAGACTGCCGTCATATAGCTGGAATATTGCTGAGTGTGATGTTAAACAACAAACAAAACATTCTAACTAGCGATTTAGGCAAACTCAGAAAAAGTTGTTCTTTTGTTCAACATTAGATTTTTTCTTTAGTCTCTATTTTCTTAAATATGAGGTAAAATAATATTGTATTTTGATGCAGTGATATGAAACTAAGTGTTAAAGTCTCTTCCTGTTTATAAGTCGTGGTGTCAGTTTCTTCTATGTAGTAATAAATTAGTAATTAGTTATGTATGTTACAATATATTTAGAAATTTGTAATTAAATTTACAGAATTTAGTAATGATATTTACTACTGACTTGGGGCCGAAATATCGGTCTCTGAGCATGCCTAGCTAAGTCCCTGCTAACTGTTGCCAATCATGTGACACACTACCAGGGACATTGCCACCCGTCTGCACACAACTATAGAACTGTGGGTACATGTGTGTACATCACTTGTGCACCTTCATTAAAAACATGAAAAGATTGGGAAAATATGTTGATGCCCAGTCAGCTTTATGTATGCTCTGCAAATCCTGTGAAAGTTTGCATGGCAATCACCATGCTGTTTCGGAACCAGATGTTGATTTCGTTTTGTGATCATGATTGGACTATGTATAGTCTCGTTAGTCTAGCCTAAATAGAACGAAATTCCAGCCTAGTTCATGGAAACTGGACTTTTATGGTCAGTTAACTCCCTTGCTAGGCAAGATGCAGTCAGTCGCTCCATGCAATCATTAATCAGTCACAATGTGCAAAATTTAACTTCTCTCCAGATTTTCATCATTATCTTGAGGACGCTAGGATTTGATGTACGACTGATGATGTCACTTCAGCCAATGGGAATCAAGCTTGCCGAAGAAGATAAGGTAGGTGTTGACCAATCATAAGTCATGTTGTTTGACCATGTGGGATATACATGCAGGGATTTACCACACACAAAACATTGCGTTCTTTACACATACATGTTGAGAATGTTGCAATTAATTTGAGATGACCATGTGCAGTGATAGCGTGAAGATCCGGGGTAGAGAATAGGTCTTCAGCAACCCATGCTTGCTGTGAAAGGCGACTATGCTTGTCGTAAGAGGCGTCTAATGGGATCGGGTGATCAGACTCACTGACTTGTTTGATGCATGACATCATATCCCAATTTGTTGATCGATGCTCATAATGTCAATCACTGGATTGTCTGGTCCAGACCCGATTATTGACAGACCGCCGTCATATAGCTGAATTAATGCTGAATGTGGCGTTAAACAACAAACAAACAAAGCAATGATAAAGTTCTAAGCAATCAGGGAAGCGTGCCACAGGAATCCAACCTGGGAAGGACCCCCATATTCCCGCCATGAACCCCCCAAATTACAAAGAGTCCCCTGGTCTCAAACATAGATAAGGTATTGATCTTAATGAATGAGATAGTACACTAGAACATCAAGGAAGATGATTGTCAAGGACAGAAACCCTGATAAACACTTTTGTCAGCATGTCATAGTTTGATGTTGCTGATGTGTAACCAGTTTAAAATCTCCTGTGTATGGTGTTCATATGACAATATTAATCTTCAGTTTAAAGTGAAGAAAGAATCCAAAAATGGAGAAAGCCCCTCCAGTTCAGTTACAACTCAGGTTAAAGAAGAAACTGCAGAAAAAGGCAAAAAGCGTGCTGGAAAAAATAAAAGATCTGACAACCCCAAATACTCTAAAAGTAGTTCTGCTGGACGAAAAGTAAACTCTAAATCCAAAGATCAATGCAAAACAGAAATGGTGGACAAAGACACTAAAACCAAGGCCAGGAAACAAAAAGGTGAAAACAAGTCTAAGAAGGGCAAGGCTGCCAAGGGGAAACAACTCTCAAAGAAAAAACATTCTTCAGAAGATTCTGATTCTGATTCTGATGCGGAAGAGAAACCCAAGAGGACATTACGGAAAAGAGATGAGAAGAAAACGATGAATGAAGAAAAGGATGCGAGTGAGTCCGGGTTTGAAGAAAGTGTTCCTAGTGACCGTGACAGTAGCTTCTCAGAGGAGGAATGTAATATGAAGAAGAGGAAAGGAAAGCGTGGAAGCAAAGGGAAGCAGAAAGCTGTAAAGAAAGAGAAGATGGAGGAAGAGGTCATTCAACTGAGGTATGATTGGGTTTGTTGACACACAATAGGCTATGGCCTGGATGAGTCCAAATTTACTTCCCGGGTACCAGTGCCCTATTACCCGACCCTACCAGGGTACCTGCTATAGGTCTCAAAAGTTAGGTACAAAATGTCCGATTAGGGAATTGTTTTACCGAAGCCTATCAAAACCTTTCAGATGCATGTAAATAATCTGATCATGCATGCACTAAAGTTGGCTGAAGCTTTGTCTTTATTCAAGCATATAAAAGTCAGAAGAAATGTGTGCATAGTTTGAGAGAAATGCAGACATTAGTTCCTTGTAGAGTAACCATGGAGTTATAACAAATTTTTGTCATTAAACAATATATCATGTGACTAACCCCGGGTCTGGGTAGTCCTGTGGGTACTCGGGTCCAACTTAGTACCCAACCCGAGTACCAAGTTACCCATCCCAGCCCTACCATCCTGTGGTATACGGTCATATTTATTCTGCCAATCAGTAATACAAACCTCCATATGAAAGCTGCAAGGATAGTGATATTGTGATAGTTTTTCTTTAAAATTTTCATTGAAACTTGTTTCTGGCCACTTTTGTGGAGCTCTGGTATCAGTGATGAGCCGTTGACAAATTGACTGTTATTTATTGTACTGATTGGCAACATAAGTGTTGACTGGAATGTTGCTGACTGTGGCGTTCAACATTCACTTGATGCTTCAGCTCTGGGAGTGAGTTCACGGAGGAAGAGACATCTTTCCGGAGCCCCCTCTCGGAGAAGTTGCGAAGGAAGAAGAACAGGAAGATTCTCTCTTCGGACTCGGATGGTGACAACAGATCTGGAAATAAAGGTTGGTTTCCATGACAATGTAGAGTCCTGGGAATCTTACACATTATTAGAGGGCATCGTGGTTTTGGCATTGCAATTCACTGTTCATGAAGGAAAACACCAAGGTTCCTACAGACTTGAAAAGGCCTTCTATTTTAAGGTCCCACTTGAAAAGCCTTGATTCTTAGTGTCAAACTTGAAAAGTCTTGAAAACCACCCAGATAGCTTGAATATGACATATACTATGAAAGTATTAACAGCGTTCCTGTTTACTGGTAATTACCAGTACAATTAGGCTTGGTCTGGTAATTCATGTGACTGTGGGTCCCTGTTGACTGACAAATCAATCTTATAAATCTTATAAATCTTTGTTGAACAAAACATTGGTGATATTCATATGAGTACATTTTTCGAACAAAGTCAGATTGTCTGCTACCATCAGGGTTTCTATATCAAAATATCCATTTGTAGCGCCTTGTCTCAAAATTAAAAAAAAAAAGAGAGAAAATTGTGACTGAAGTTTGTATGAATGACGTTTAGATCTAACTAAGTTACTTCAGAGATGACATCCTTGCATTGAACATGATGTTGAAAGAATTAAAACCAAATAATCTTCATATGTTTTTTTATTTGTTGAAAGTTGGGACTGGCAAAAATTAGGGGGAACTGGTAATTTTTAGAGTTGCCAGTCCACCAGGACTGGCAGTTTCAAAAGCCGGGTCTGATTAAGATTTACTATAGAAGTCTGGACAGACTTGATCAATTTTATTTCTTGGTTATGAAAATAAATCTTGTTGGAAACTTTGTGATGTTCATACTGCTTTAAAAGTCTTACGACTGATATATAGTAAACTGGATTAAAAAATATTGACAGACTTAGGTTAATAACCCAACTAAAGAAGCCTTCAAAATGGAAGTTGAAAGTCTTGAATAGCCTTGAAAAAAGGCCATTAATTTTAGTGTTTCATATCTGTATGAACCTTGATCACCCATAAACCCATGAACCCATAAACCCATAAACCCATAAACCCATAAACCCAGATACCCAGATACCCAAAAGCTCCGAAACCCATACTCCCCTACAAAACTAAATGTGCCTTATACTTTCAACTGTTGAGATGAGCATCGATGTTTCAGGCTGTGACATCTGGACAGAAGTGTTTCTGCCAAAAGAATCAAGATGGGTGTGTAAGTACTGTTAATGTATCTGCACATCACTCAACACAAGAAGCCAATCTCATTAAAATCAGACCTCAGTTCTCGCTACCACTAAACAAAGATCTGAGGACATCCCATTAGGGGTCACGTCAGAACGACCTTTCATCCGACCAATCAGAGCATAGCTTACCAGATTATGAAAGTGACAGTCGGAATGTGATTTCTAATCATGCAACCTCGAAAACTTTAACTCTGAATGATAGTTTAACGACTGAATCCATACAATCTTGACCATCTATTAGCCATTCCAGAATGTTCTTTTGTTCAGGTTTCAAATTTGTAATCGAGAATTTGTCAAAATATGTTTCGAAGCGTAGTCGCCAATTTGAAATTTGAGCCGTAAAGCATGAGAAAGCTGCCTTCTGATTGGTCATTCCATTGGTCGGTCAAAGTTTGCGTAAGGTCGGTCTGGCGTGACCCGTAATGGGATGTCCTCAGATCTTGGTTTAGCGGTAACGATCTAAGATCTGATTTTAATGAGATTGCACAAGGAGCAGGATGACCATGAAATCTAACCCTAACCAGAATGTTGTCAGTTTGTTTGTTGTTTAACTGTATTATTCCACCTATGTGATGGTGGCCTGTAAATTATCAAGTCTGGACTAGTCAAACTAGTGATTGATATTATGAAGTCGGGGTACGATGACACGTTATCACCGAGTCTGACAACCTGGTCCATGTTGTTCCTTGTACATCAAGCATAGGTTGCTGGGAATCTATTCTAACCAGGAATTACCAATGGGATATCAATTTGTGAAAACATCAGTTATAATTTGCATCATGCTGTGTTGTTTTTTCTATTCAGCAATATAACAGCAAAATGTGTTTGTGGAAATAACAGATATTAATTACCTTCAGTCTAGGGCTAGGATGGGTAACTCGGGTACTCGGGGCGGATGGGTCCTGAGTAGGACCTGGATCCCATATGGTCTAATAGGATTACCTGGATTTGTGACCCGTGAAGATCCGGGGTAGAATAGGTCTTCAGCCACCCATGCTTGTCGTAAAAGGTGACTATGCTTGTCGTAAGAGGCGACTGATGGGATCGGATGGTCATGCTTGCTGACTTGGTTGATGCATGTCATCTTTCCCAATTGGGTAGATCGATGCTGCCGTCATTTAGCTGGAATATTGCTGAGTGCAGCCTTAAACAAACAAACAAACAAACCTGGATTTGTGGTTACATGGTTACACTACAAGTCGCTAATGTTCACATGTATTCAAGCTCAAGCATTCCTTCTGACTTTTATATGTTTGAATAAAGATAAAGCTTCAGTGGACGGCAAATTATGAATGATCCGACCATTATATATGTGTATCTAAATATTCTTTGCCAGGGCAGGGCGGTCGGGTAGCTTAGTGGTTAAAGCGTTCGCTCGTCAGGCTGAAGACCCGGGTTCGATTCCCGACATGGGTACAATATGTGAAGCCCATTTCTGGTGTTCCTAGCCGTGATATTGCTGGAATATTGCTAAAAGCGGCGTAAAACCATACTCACTCACTCACTCACTCACTCACTTTGCCAGGGCCCCAGTAAACAATTCCTATGCAGACTTTTTTCTACCCAACTCTGAGACCAACAGCGGTTATAGGGTCAGATAATAGGGGTCAGGTACGCCGGTAGTAAATTTGGACTCGTCCCAGCCCTACTTCTGTCTTTCAACCCTTTTATCACCATGTTCACAGATGCATTTATGCCCCTGTTTATCAAATCAAATTTTCTTCTAAATGGCATTGTGTATTCATAGCTTTCGGCCATGGGAGCCATGCCAATTTACACTTGTCAGAGGGGTACACAAAGTATGTGAACTAGACTACCAGTTGTCTTGCATTTTTTGTGAAAGCCTCGGTGGCTGAGTGGGTTCGCTGACCTTGTGTGCTAGCAATTAGGTGCCTCCCAGACGGGACTCAACCCTAAAAAGTACGAGAATCTGTACTTTACTCAGAAAGTGTTATCCCAAATATGACATTTGTTACATATTTACTGGAACATAGTCAGATGTAATGTATGACTAATGTAACTTTAATAGTGCTCAATAATTCCAGTACATCTGTTAAGGAGAACATACAAAACACCGGCATGGTAAAGGGTGTGTGTTGTTGCTTTTGAATGAGTTGATTTTTTCAGTAGATTTACGTTATTTCTCTTCAACCAGGTGTTGACTGTGCACACAATATTATGGACAAGCCATATGAGATTGAATCCAAGCTGGTCCAGCCAGTTCACTACGTGATCGCCTTCAGTGCCGGTAAGGAGACAGTAGCCATGCTACCTGAGTCACTGTTGAGTAAAGCATTTAAGGTGAGGTGAAATTTGGTTTAACGTCATGTCAAAGATTATTGCACTTATATTGCGAAGTGCATGCACGTGTGTGTGTGTGTGGCTGCTTGTACTAGTCCAGACTGATGCCGATTTATAGTGCTAGCCCACTGAGATACCATGCCGTAATTTAACATGAATACCCCACTCAGACCCAGTATACTGACTCCGTGCTGACCAGTCCTTGTTTTAGTCCCTTAATGCTGAGCCCTAGACAGGGTAACAACAAGTACCATCTTTTAACGTCCTTTGGTATGGCGCGGCTGGGGTTCGAACCCCGGCCTTTTGCTCTCCGGGCGGACGCTCTACCACTAGACCACAGAGACGGTCGTAAAGCATTTAAGAACACAGCCTGTAACATGAACGAAATGATCAGATGTAGTCAAGAGGTGACACCTTTCTGGTGCTTGAATAATCATGTCAGCTAAAGCTTACGTATATCTTACTGTTGGCTAAGCACACAGACAATTGTTGTGATATGATAGTTTCATTGATTTTGTCTATTTTATCCGTTTTGCGGTCCGTGAGATCTCCCATGATTCTAGCTTTGCTGATCATGTGAAACAGGGGTGGTCGGGTAGCCTAGTTGTTAAAGCGTTTGCTCATCACGCCGAAGACCCGGGTTCTATTCCTGAAATGGGTACAATGTGTGAAGCCCATTTCTGGTGTCCCCTGACGTGATATTGCTGGAATATTGCTAAAAGCGGCGTAAAATCAAACTCACTCACTGAAACAGGACATGGTGGGGGGATGAACACTTCGTCTGCTTATCAGGATGCCATGATGATATATGGACTGTGGGTACATATACGTGTCTAGGTTATTTGACTGTGAGTTTGATGGTAACCATTTTGTCCTTTCGCATGTTTTTTGTCACTTTTCACTTAATTGGGCAGAAAATTCAGAATCAAATGTATGTCAGACCTGTATACCGTATTCGACGTAATAAGCGCCCAGGGCGCTCTCAAAATTAGGAATAGGGGGCCCTTATTAGAATATTATTTTGGTGGAAAAAAACAGTGGTTTGAGCTGACAACCTGAAATGTTTATGTACGACAGATATGTTTTTCCAGAATTAAATTGCCCATAATTAAGGGTGCATATAACACATGAGTGAGTATCATATGCGAAAAAATAAGTCTTGTGTACATTGATCAGTTGGAAGGGGTGCTAATTGGGATTGTTCATTTGCCAATATATTAACAAATATCGACCTGGGCGCTTATTGGAGCGGGGCGCTTATTATGGTATCTGTTTTTGTTGTAGATGGGTATCTCCGAGACGTGACCGCCAGGTATGCCTCCCAGTGGATGTCTCATACTCGGAAACTGAGAGTGGATCCGGAGTGGTGGGATGAAACACTGGAGCTCTACAAGAACCCAGCACCAGAGCAGGGAGATAACGATGAAGATGATATCAGGGGTAGGAATGTGTGGATGATATCAGGGACATGTGGATGATATCAGAGGTTGGGAAATGGATGATATCAGAGGAAGGGGTACTTGGATGATATCAGGGGTAAGGAGATGTGGATGATATCAGAGGTAGGGAGATGTGGATGATATCATAGATAGTGAGATGTGGATGATATCATTGATTGTGAGATGTGGATGATACCAGAGGTAGGGAGATGTGGATGATATCATAGATAGTGAGATGTGGATGATATCATTGATAGTGAGATGTGGATGATATCAAAGGTAGGAAGATGTGGATGATATCAGAGGTAGTGGGATGTGGATGATATTATTGATAGTGAGATGTGGATGATATCAGAGGTAGGGAGATGTGGATAATATCATTGATAGTGAGATGTGGACGATATCAGAGGTAGGGAGATGTGGATGATATCATTGATAGTGAGATGTGGATGATATCAGAGGTAGTGGGATAGGGATGATATCATTGATAGTGAGATGTGGATGATATCAGAGGTAGTGGGATGTGGATGATATCAGAGGTAGGGAGATATGGGTGATATCAGAAGTAGGGAGATGTGGATGATATCAGAGCTAGGGAGATATGGATGATATCAGTCAGAGAGGTGATGTTTTAGATGAATGTGGTTTATGTGAATCACCACCTTCTGTATTTTAAGGTGCAGGTGTGGATGATATCAGAGGTAGGGAGATGTGGATAATATCATTGATAGTGAGATGTGAACGATATCAGAGGTAGGGAGATGTGGATGATATCATTGATAGTGAGATGTGGGCGATATCAGAGGTAGCGGGATGTGGATGATATCATTGATAGTGAGATGTGGATGATATCAGAGGTAGTGGGATGTGGATGATATCATTGATAGTGAGATGTGGATGATATCAGAGCTAGGGAAAAATTGCAGATATCAGAGGTAGGGAGATGTGGATGATATCAGAGGTAGGGAAATATTGCAGATATCAGAGGTAGGGAGATGTAGATGATATCAGAGGTAGGGGAGATGTGGATGATATCATTGATAGTGAGATGTGGATGATATCAGGGGTAGGGAGATGTGGATGATATCAGAGGTAGGGAGATGTGGATGATATCAGAGGTAGGGAAATATTGCAGATATCAGAGGTAGGGAAATGTGGACGATATCAGGGGTAGGGAGATGTGGATGATATTGATAGTGAGAAGTGGACGATATCAGAGGTAGGGTGATGTGGATGATATCATTGATAGTGAGATGTGGATGATATCATTGATAGTGAGATGTGGATGATATCATTGATAGTGAGATGTGGATGATATCAGAAGTAGGGAGATGTGGATGATATCATTGATAGTGAGATGTGGATGATATCAGAGGTAGGGAGATATGGGTGATATCAGAGCTAGGGAGATATGGATGATATCAGTCAGAGAGGTGATGTTTTAGATGAATGTGGTTTATGTGAATCACCACCTTCTGTATTTTATCCAGGCCCTAGATAAAATGAGTATTAAAAACTAAATACATCACATTCACCCCTCAACACCTGTGTCCTGTGATGTCCAGATCAAGTTCTCACAGTGACATTTGTGAAGCCAGTTATTGTGCCGTCTTACAGGACTTTGATCTCTACTTCCAGCTCAGCTCATGAAGAGACCACTGCCTACCAGCATAGGCCAGTTCAAGAACCACCCACTGTAAGCAGCTTCTGGCATTGCTAACAAGACATCAACCTGTCCATATTGTTGTGATCTTATCTAATCTAGTAGTGCCAGCAGGTATTTATCTAGGATTCCAAACTAAGCACCAAGAATGTTTGGTTAAAATATCAATATTTTACTGAATATTGGAATAGATGTATTTTACCAGTGTATTTTCAGCATTGCATTCTTTGTAATACTTTACAACTAAGCGTTAAGCCTCGTCCTCATTGTCTTACTGTTATGAAATTTGGAAGATTAAATTTCCAATTTCCAATTACCGACATCATCTTCCCTAGACAAGTGAGTTAACTAACTTTAAAAGTCCAGTTTCCACCCTTGCCTAACTAGGCTGGAATTCCTGGGCTCGATCGTAGCGCCACGACTGGTTATTATGAGTTATGTCTCTTCTAAGCCTCTCCTATGGACCAATCCGATTCCAGCACTTGCATTGGTTTCTAACAAAATGGCAGCGACCATTCAAGATGATCTGATCGATTATTAAGATCTATATTGTGATAAAACAGGTCTTACATCGCGAAGTGCATCAAATCACGTGAGCACCTTGTTTAAAAACATAAAAAGGTTTGGAAAATATCTGTTTACGTCTTGGCGGTGCGCATGCTTTGCAAATCCTGCAATCGACCAAAATCTGCATGACAGTTTACGAACCGGATTTCAATTTCGTTGCGAGAATTTGATTGGACTATGCATAGACTCGTTAGTCCAGCCAAAATGTAACTCCATTATACCAGCCTAGTTCGGCAAGGGTGGAAACTGGACTTTTATAGTCAGTTAACTCTCTTGCCGCGGGAAGATGTACTGACATATGCTGCAGACTTTGGGCCTAATATCCCTGACCAGATCAGTCTGGAGATTACTATCCATGTTGACAATCATAATCAATATCAGTATAACTATCAATATTGATGATGGTCACATGGTATTATCCACCATTGAAGCAAAATAGCAGGAGCTTACAACAATTCCTAAACAGTCTCTTGATATTCAGACCAGATAAAAAAAAAAAAATGAAATTAGAAAAACTTGCTCTTGTGCTATATTCCACTGAGGGTCTCTCCTGTATCCATCAGGTATGCACTGTCTCGTCACCTGTTGAAGTACGAGGCGATCTACCCCGAGTCCTCCATCCCCCTTGGCTACATCCGGAGTGAGCCTATCTACGCTAGAGAGTGTGTTCAGACTGTAAGTAGTGTGTGTCTTGTCGCTTCTTTGTGGGAGCACAGGATTTATCTAGGATTTCAAACTAAGTCCTCAAGTCCTCTTAAATTAAATGTAATATTGAATATTAAACCCCTATTCCTGTTTATTGGTCCTGTTATCAGTGAAATACGAGTCACCTCTGCTAAGTGAGTGAGTGAGTGAGTGAGTATGGTTTTAGCCCGCTTTCAGCAATATTCCAGCAATATCACGGCTTTACACATTTACACATTGTACCCATGTGGGGAATCCAATCCGGGTCTTTGGCGTGACAAGCGAACGCTTTAACAACTAGGCTACCCCACCGCCCCCCCTCTGCTAAGCTGTACATTAGCTATGACAATAATAGCTTGGTATTTTATTGTGGGAATTTTTACATATGCTTGCAAATAATTGCCAATAATACCCTGTCCCACTGTCGGTGACAGGTTAATTCCACCAAAGACGGGTGAAATACAAATTATTCAAACATATAAAAGTCAGAAGGAATGCATGCATAGACAGAAAGAAATGCCAATATTAGTTCCTTGAAGTGTAACCATGGAGTTCTAGATAAATTTTGTCACTAAACAAATATATCATGTGACTTACCACGGGTCCGGGTAGTCCTGTGGGTACCCTGGTCCCTCTCAGTACCCACCTGACCCGAGTACCCGAGATACCTGATATCCTGCAGACATAGGGTCGAAGTTCACAAATGCCTCGAGTATGGCTGACACAATGATCTAAGTTGGCTCTGCAGAGTTATGTCCCTTAGCTGACAGGATTTGAAGCCTCGATGAGCTTTGATTATGATTCTTTGTGTGTGTCAGTACTTGGTCTGTTATTATGGGTTTCACCAAGCTGGTGAGCGTCTACAATCTGAATCAGTTTGGACTGTGCTCCCACTTTAGGCTGCTGGATGTGAAACAACTCCAAGCATTACTGTTCTCAATACTTCACATACAGAATTAGTGGAGAAGAGTGCATGTCAGCTTACCCCGATGTTGTTGCTCATAACATCACTCACTGGTTTCTCTGGTAAAGATTCCTACAGGATTCTGACATATAGTTGGAATATTGCTGAGTGAAGCGTTAAAAAACAATCAAATCTAAGAGTTGATGTGACTTGTGTTCACAGCTTCATTCCCGGGAGAACTGGCTGAAAGAGGGAAGAGCAGTCCGGGTAAGAATGTCGCTGATTGGTCATTTTAAATGTGCATATCAGTCTTTTTCAATCTTATTTAAAAATATGTCATTTCCAGCCTAGTATATTTAGTGTTATGTTATGCTTTCATGAACACTATAATTTGAGTCTGGTTGGTGAGGTGAGGCGAGGTGACATGGGGTTTAACGTTGTGTCCAAGATTTTTGCACTTAAATCTGTTATAAAGCCACGTGCATGCACGTGTGTGGGTGGCTGCTTGTACTAGTCCGGACTGATGCCGATTTATAGTGCTAGCCCACTGAGGCACCATGCCGCAGTTTAACATGAACACCCCACTCAGACACAGTAAACTGACTCTGAGCCGACCAGTCCCTGTTTTAGCCCCTTAATGCCGATCGCCAGACAGGGTAACAACAAGTACCATCTTTTAACGTCTTTTGGTATGACACGGCCGGGGATCGAACCCCAGACCTTCTGCTCTCCGGGCGGATGTTCTACCACTAGACCACGGAGGCGGCTGAGCCTGGTTGGCTTCAGACTGCAACTATTTGCCTTGTTTGCTATCTACATTGACAACACATGTGGAAAGATTTCAAACCTTACTGTCCATAAATATGTGAAGTTGCATGTCAGTATCTTCAGAAATAGAGATATAGCAAACCACATCGCACCACAATACTTAATATCGGTCCTCGGTGTACCAACCTTCCATTTGTCACTTAGCAAAATATCAACCTGGATTGAGCATCTAGTTATCGCAGTAACCACTGTCAACAATGGACACCAGAAGTTTCCAATCAACACACCCATACATTGGCCTTGTACTTGGGGTTAAATCCTGGGAACCTGAAGTCAGTACCATGTACAGATTGTAGATAAAACAAATTGCAACAAAATGCAAGGTCAAATCTTTTATTTAGGTTTTCACAAGTACAATGTAACTCCAAAACAGCCAGCTTAAGGCTAAAAAAAATAATAGTGGTTCTCAGGCACCGGCCACATCATCATAAAGTCTGCAGCATGTTTTGATTTCCATTTTGCAAAAAAATTATAAAAATCGTAATACTTGAAAACAATGCGATCCAATATGGCATGCAGTTACTTCCCTTTACATGCACACTGCTTTACTGTGAATCTCGTGTGCTGGAAATGGCTGCAATAGGAGTTTGCATACTTATTTATGTAAGGGTACCATTTCCTTTCAGTTGAGAAGGAAAATGACCTCTCGTCTACTGTCCTTCTCTGTGACAATAATCTAAATAATCGTTTCACCTTCATCAGTTGGAAAAAATATAAGTTCCCTAGAAACATAAACTATTTATATTAAGTGATACATTCACACTTCTACACTCCAACAAGCTCATGTTTATAACAAATATAATAATCTTTTATGTTATGAAATTGCATGATCATGATTTGATCTTTATAAATCTTATTCTTCAATGATAAAGTTTACATGGAGGAATAATTACCAGTGGTAAGTCATAATTATTCAAGGTAATTCAAAATAATCATGTTTTTAGAAATATTTTTCATTACTTCATGGCCTTACTTGTTCTTTTTCAGCTGGGTGAACAAACATATAAAAATGTCAAATCAAGGAAGAGATGGGTGAGTATTGCATATATACTACTCAAAAGAAGTTGAGGAACACAATCCTTTCATATTACTATAGGTAATCTGTCATGGCATGGTAATCTGTCATGGCATGGTAATCTGTCATGGCATGGTAATAGTCATGGCATGACAGGTTAACTATAGTAATATGAAAGCATCGGGTGATCTTTAACTTCTTTTGAGTAGTATTTTATTGGATAGAAAATATGAATAAGGGGCCAGCCAATGGATGTTCTTGGCACAGCTTGGTCTTGAAGCAGTCGCCGAAAAATATTACCTTGCTGTTTCTAACAAAAATCCAGTGCCTAAGTAATACTGTTTAGTAAGCCAGCAATCATTTGTGACAGTGTGAAGAACCGATAATAATTGGTTTACTAATGTTGTTTAAAAATGTTGGGTTAGTTCCATTTATGTTATGAGCCTTAAAGATGGACATATGGCCTATTTCATGATGGGCCTATGACCTATTTCATGATGGGCCTATTACCTATTTCACAATTGGCATATGACCTATTTCAAGATGGACCTATGGCCTATTTCATGATGGGTCTATGGCCTATTTCAAGATGGACCTATGGCCTATTTCAAGATGGGCCTATGGCCTATTTCATGATGGGCATATGGCCTATTTCAAGATGGACCTGTGGCCTATTTCATGATGGACCTATGGCCTATTTCATGATGGGCATATGGCCTATTTCAAGATTGACCTGTGGCCTATTTCATGATGGGCATATGGCCTATTTCAAGATGGACCTATGACCTATTTCAAGATGGACCTATCGCCTATTTCATGATGGGCCTATGGCCTATTTCAAGATGGACCTGTGGCCTATTTCAAGATGGGCCTATGGCCTATTTCATGATGGGCATATGGCCTATTTCAAGATGGACCTGTGGCCTATTTCACGATGGGCATATGACCTATTTCAAGATGGACCTATGGCCTTTTTCAAGATGGACCTATGGCCTATTTCATGATGGGCCTATGGCCTATTTCAAGATGGACCTATTGCCTATTTCATGAGGGGCCTATGGCCTATTTCAAGATGGGCCTGTGGCCTATTTCAAGAATGGCCTATGGCCTATTTCATGATGGGCCTATGGCCTATTTCATGATAGGCCTGTGATCTATTTCAAGATGGGCCTGTGGCCTATTTAATGATGGGCTTAAGGCCTATTTCATGATGGGCCTATTTACAGACTTGGCAAAAAGAATAAAAACAACTCCAGATGTCCCATGTAATATATTTTCTCCCTCCCTTTTTTTCTCCCCCTTCAGTTGTGCTGCTTATGTGATTGTCACACTGTCAACTCTTTTTCAGAAACAAAAACAACCAAAGGAAGATCCTGATGCCCTTGACCTTGAGCTGTTTGGACTGTGGCAGACGGAGATCTACATCCCTCCTCCTGCTGTTGACGTAGGTTCTCAAACTGTCAGATCATAACGTTTCTCCCATTTGACTCCCATTTCTGCCAAAAAATATTTCCATGAGTTCATTTTCAAAATCAAATCTCATCTGTATTTTCTTGTGTCGTGCTACCAGTATGTTGTGTTTCTGCAGGGCAAGATTCAGCGGAACGAGTACGGGAACATTGAGCTGTTCAAGCCGTGGATGTTGCCAGGGGGAACAGTGCACCTGCAAGGTAGTTGTCCTCATGGCTGATGTATATCACTGACAATATCTTTGAGAATAACCCGTGAAGATCCGGGGTAGAATAGGTCTTCAGCAAACAATGCTTGTTGTATGAGGCGACTAATAGGATTGGGTGGTCTGGTTGCTGACTTGGTTGATGCATGTCATCGTATCCCAATTGCGTGAATCGATGCTCATGATGTCAAATACTGGATTGTCTGGTCCAGACTTGACTTTTTTCAGACTGCTGACATAAAGCAGGAATATTGTTGAGTACTGCGTTAAACAACAAACAGTCAATCAATGTATGAGAATAGGACAACATCTTAGTGAATTTTAGTGAAATTGAAAAACAGAATACAGTCTTAAACTAATCATTAAAGTCTTTGTGAAAAGCACAACATTTAGCTGTTGAACATGTAATGATGTCATGTTGTGATAGAAAGGTCGTGTTTCAATACATGATATAATATGTGAAAAATCAAACTAGACATGTCAGGATGAAATGACATATGTATTAGATGATTTGAGACAATTCGTGAAACAAACTTTTCATTCAGTTTTACGTGTTATATATATAAATGGATGTATTGTTTTGTATCGATACATGATCTACATAGGCTTGGAATGGAAGTGTCAGTTTATTGTTTGTTGTCCAGGATTCCCAGCTCTGAACCGAGTCGCGAAGAAGCTGAACCTTGACGTATCGCCGGCCATGGTGGGCTGGGACACTCACGGTGGCTTCCCTCATCCTCTGTGAGTTGAGAGAAGAAATAAAGAATGAGCAGTTTCTATTATTATAACTGCTGTTGCTGTGTGCAAAGATATTTTGTCTGGGTGCTAGTTTGTTGTGTGCAGGATTGATGTACGACGTTAGTTTGTTGTGTGCAGGATTGATGTACAACGTTAGTTTGTTGTGTGCAGGATTGATGTACGACGTTAGTTTGTTGTGTGCAGGATTGATGTATGATGTTAGTTTGTTGTGTGCAGGATTGATGTACAACGTTAGTTTGTTGTGTGCAGGATTGATGTACGACGTTTGTTTGTTGTGTGCAGGATTGATGTACGACGTTATTTTGTTGTGTGCAGGATTGATGTACAACGTTAGTTTGTTGTGTGCAGGATTGATGTATGACGTTAGTTTGTTGTGTGCAGGATTGATGTATGACGTTTATTTGTTGTGTGCAGGATTGATGAATAACGTTAGTTTGTTGTGTGCAGGATTGATGTATGACGTTAATTTGTTGTGTGCAGGATTGATGTACGACGTTAGTTTGTTGATGCAGGATTGATGTATGACGTAAGTTTGTTGTGTGCAGGATTGATGTATGATGTTAGTTTGTTGTGTGCAGGATTGATGTATGATGTTAGTTTGTTGTGTGCAGGATTGATGTACGACGTTAGTTTGTTGATGCAGGATTGATGTATGACGTTAGTTTGTTGATGCAGGATTGATGTATGACGTTAGTTTGTTGATGCAGGATTGATGTACGACGTTAGTTTGTTGTGCGCAGGATTGATGTACGACGTTAGTTTGTTGTGCGCAGGATTGATGTACGACGTTAGTTTGTTGTGTGCAGGATTGATGTATGACGTTTATTTGTTGTGTGCAGGATTGATGAATAACGTTAGTTTGTTGTGTGCAGGATTGATGTATGACGTTAATTTGTTGTGTGCAGGATTGATGTACGACGTTAGTTTGTTGATGCAGGATTGATGTATGACGTAAGTTTGTTGTGTGCAGGATTGATGTATGATGTTAGTTTGTTGTGTGCAGGATTGATGTATGATGTTAGTTTGTTGTGTGCAGGATTGATGTACGACGTTAGTTTGTTGATGCAGGATTGATGTATGACGTTAGTTTGTTGATGCAGGATTGATGTATGACGTTAGTTTGTTGATGCAGGATTGATGTACGACGTTAGTTTGTTGTGCGCAGGATTGATGTACGACGTTAGTTTGTTGTGCGCAGGATTGATGTACGACGTTAGTTTGTTGTGTGCAGGATTGATGTACGACGTTAGTTTGTTGTGTGGAGGATTGATGTACGACGTTAGTTTGTTGTGTGGAGGATTGATGTACGACGTTAGTTTGTTGTGTGGAGGATTGATGTACAACGTTTGTTTGTTGTGTGCAGGATTGATGTATGACGTTAGTTTGTTGATGCAGGATTCATGTACGAAGTTAGTTTGTTGATGCAGGATTGATGTACAACGTTAGTTTATTGTGTGCAGGATTGATGTATGACGTTAGTTTGTTGTGTGGAGGATTGATGTACAACGTTTGTTTGTTCATGCAGGATTGATGTACGACGTTAGTTTGTTGTGTGGAGGATTGATGTACGACGTTAGTATGTTGATGCAGGATTGATGTACGACGTTAGTTTGTTGATGCAGGATTGATGCACGACGTTAGTTTGTTGATGCAGGATTGATGTACAACGTTAGTTTGTTGTGTGCAGGATTGATGTATGACGTTAGTTTGTTGATGCAGGATTGATGTACGACGTTAGTTTGTTGTGTGGAGGATTGATGTACGACGTTAGTTTGTTGTGTGGAGGATTGATGTACGACGTTAGTTTGTTGTGTGCAGGATTGATGTATGATGTTAGTTTGTTGTGTGCAGGATTGATGTACGACGTTAGTTTGTTGATGCAGGATTGATGTATGACGTTAGTTTGTTGTGTGGAGGATTGATGTACAACGTTTGTTTGTTCATGCAGGATTGATGTATGACGTTAGTTTGTTGTGTGGAGGATTGATGTACGACGTTAGTTTGTTGATGCAGGATTGATGTATGACGTTAGTTTGTTGATGCAGGATTGATGTACGACGTTAGTTTGTTGTGTGCAGGATTGATGTATGACGTTAGTTTGTTGATGCAGGATTGATGTACGACGTTAGTTTGTTGATGCAGGATTGATGTACGACGTTAGTTTGTTGTGTGGAGGATTGATGTATGACGTTAGTTTGTTGATGCAGGATTGATGTACGACGTTAGTTTGTTGTGTGGAGGATTGATGTACGACGTTAGTTTGTTGATGCAGGATTGATGTACGACGTTAGTTTGTTGATGCAGGATTGATGTACGACGTTAGTTTGTTGTGTGGAGGATTGATGTATGACGTTAGTTTGTTGATGCAGGATTGATGTACGACGTTAGTTTGTTGTGTGGAGGATTGATGTACGACGTTAGTTTGTTGATGCAGGATTGATGTACGACGTTAGTTTGTTGTGTGGAGGATTGATGTATGACGTTAATTTGTTGATGCAGGATTGATGTACGACGTTAGTTTGTTGATGCAGGATTGATGTACGACGTTAGTTTGTTGTGTGGAGGATTGATGTATGACGTTAGTTTGTTGATGCAGGATTGATGTACGACGTTAGTTTGTTGTGTGCAGGATTGATGTATGACGTTAGTTTGTTGATGCAGGATTGATGTACGACGTTAGTTTGTTGATGCAGGATTGATGTACAACGTTAGTTTGTTGTGTGGAGGATTGATGTACGACGTTAGTTTGTTGTGTGGAGGATTGATGAACAACGTTAGTTTGTTGTGTGCAGGATTGATGTATGACGTTAGTTTGTTGTGTGCAGGATTGATGAACAACATTAGTTTGTTGTGTGCAGGATTGATATTTGGTGTTGATGGCAGGTGTTGTATTTGTTGATGCAGGATTGACAATGGGTGTTGTTTCATTTGTTGATGTAGGATTGATGGCAGGTGTTGTATTTGTTGATGCAGGATTGATGACAGGTGTTATTGTATTTTTTATGCAGGATTGACGGCAGGTGTTATTGTATTTTTTATGCAGGATTGATGGCTGGGTTGTGTGTGAGGAACACAAGGACATCCTGATCGCTGCGTGGGACGAGGACCAGGAGATACAGAAGCAGAGGGAGATGGAGGTACATGGCTCTCAGATGTGTGCCAGGATGTGCTCAACCCTGACTCACTCAGTTGGTGTCCTACTTTGTCCAAGACAAGGACTTCCAGGCAGCAATCTGACAGCTATCCACAGTATTCTAGTATTCCAGTTATATCACGGCACATCAGCTTAGTGTGGGATGAGAAATCCCGAAATGATGCATGTCTCAGGTGTTAACCACTTTTGTGCTTACAAGCCTAGAAACATTATCGGACTCAGGATCAAAGGTTTCTGGCATGCCTAAGGGATGCAACTCTGCACAGTGAATTGTGGCAGCATAGGAGACTGGGCCACACATGCCTCCTTCAAAATATGAAACATTGGCTATTCTTGCTAATTTCCACAAGCTTCAGTTTCCAGCTAACATGCAGACTGCTCTAACCAAAACACATCTGTCACAAGGTATCTGGGTGGCCTAGTTGCTTGTCAGCTATGCTTGTCGTAAGAGGCGACTACCAGGTTTTGGCGGTCAGGCTCGCTGACTTGGTTGCTGCATGTCATGGTATCCCAATTGCGTAGATCGATGCTCATAATGACAATCTCTAGATTGTCTGGTCCAGATTCTATACAGACCGCCACCATATAGCTGGACTATTGCTGTAAACAATAACTATAAACAACAAACATGGAACAGTTGTCTAAGGCACTGAAAATCACTCTGCAGTGGTGCACCTCGTAGGTTCGCAAAAAATTAAAGAGCATGGTTACGAATCCAAGATTCTATTTGTCATTATCACACCTGTGATCTTAAACCTGATTTCAAACCTGACATCAAGCTGACATGATGTGATTTAACTGAAATAATGTTTGTATCGGTAGCTTGCTTTTTGTTCTTGCACCTGGTCACTTGCCCTCTGTGTATGAGGTGTATTGGTTGATATCAATAATTAGATTTCCATCATGTGTGCCTCCGTACCATTCTCTGCCTCATGTCCTTCTAATGACCTCAGTGCATACAAAGGACCCGTGAAGGTCCGGAATAGAATAGGTCTTCAGCAACCCATGCTTGCCGTAAAAGGCGACTAACGGGATCAGGTCGTCATACTTGCCGACTTGGTTGATGCATGTCATCATGTCCCAATTGCATGGATCGATGCTCATGATGTCAATCACTGGATTTTCTGGTCCACGCTCGGTTATTTACAGACCGCCCTTATAGCTGGAATTTTGCTGAGTGCAGCGTTAACAAACAAACAAACAAAAACATACAGACAAAGGAAATAGCTTCTGTATTTCTTTACTTGAGGAATGACACCATAAACTTCATTGTACTAGACAGTCATGCTTTGTGTGAATCACATCCATTCACAGTTCATGTACACAGATAGCTTGAACATTTTGGACCAGTGAAGATCCTGGGTAGAATAGATCTTCAGCAACCAATGCTTGCCGTAAAAGGCGACTATGCTTGTCGTAAAAGGCGACTAACGGGATCGGGTGGTCAGGCTCGCTGACTTGGTTGATGCATGTCATCGATCTCAATTGCGTGGATTGATGCTCATGATATCAATCACTGGATTGTCTGGGCCAGACTCGATTATTTACAGACCGCCGTCATATAGCTTGAATATTGCTGAGTGCGGCGTTAAACCACAAACAAACCAACCAACCAACTTGAACATTTTGTCTACAAAAAGTAATATAAAAACATGTCTCCTGCCTAACTTTGGATGAAAATCTAATAATTGATATAATGTGGCCTTGCTAAGATGTTGTACTAAATGACTGTATCATGTATGTCAACAGAAGAGGGAGAAGCGAGCCCTGGGCAACTGGAAACTGTTGACACGATCACTGCTTATCAGAGAGAGGCTGAAAAAACGCTTCGATCTGCAGGTGAGTCAGATATTTTATTTTTAAACAATTTGATGGAAAATTATCTCAAATATGACATTGAAATGTAATAAGTTCCTGTAGCGTTGAAAACTGTCCCTAACTGATCGAACCTGTAGGGATTCTGGGTTGGAATATAGGTCAACCTGTCCTCATCATTAGAGGCCATTAAATGGATTGGGTGGTCAGACTCGATGACTTGGATGATTACATGTCATTGTATCTCATTTGCATGGATAGAACTCAATCACTTGATTCTCTGGCCTGCATCAAGAAATTAATCTTAAGATTAATTCTTAAGAGATGGTAGAGCGTCTGCCCGGAGAGCAGAAAGTCGAGGGTTTGTGAATATGTCCAGTATTCATGGTGAATAGATAATAACATTGATCATTTGCGGTTAGGGGATTACACTTACTCGTCTAACAATACTTTAAACCTCTTCATCAGTGACCTGACCCATCTCATTTGTATGTGCGTTATAGGGAATTTCTTGCTTTTGATTTCATTCAAAACAGTGGGAAGTTTAGTTTATGAAGATACCAAATGATATTATTCAATTAAACTGCTATCGCCCCATTCTATATGATACCTCAAGTATTGGTGTTGTTTGAGGATTAGTTGAACAGTTCAAAGGCAGGGCTACACGCATTCATTTTGTGATGCATTTTAGGCCGGGGATCGACACTCACATTAATTTGTTGACAGATTAATCCGCAGCGACAGAAATTGGCACTAGTCCTATAGTCCTTGCCAAACTGCCCAATAGTTAAGGTACCATAAGGACTAGTAGAAATGTGTCACTTTTAGGGGTTTTGCTCTATGTTCTGATAGTGAGGACTAGTGGACTAAAAATGTTGAATTTCATGATTTACTAATCTGTATTGTGAAGATGTTTCATGCAATATTTGTCAATGTTTTGTTGCTAGGATACAAACCCCGAGGAGGTGGAGGTGGAGGAGGACGATGGGGAGGAGAAGGGGGGAAAGGGGGAGAAGGCAATGGACGTCATTCAGTCGTGGCCGGCAAACAGGCAGAAGGGGAAGCACAAAAAACACCATCCCCCATCGGAAACCATGGAAACCATGTGATCAGTGTGGAACTATCAGTGAGATACAAGCAGCTGTAGCTGTCGGAGTCATGGCAACCCGGTGACACAACACACTGAAATGTGGAAACTTCCAAGTCATTTGAAGATGAACTTCGACCTTGTATTCAGGGTGTTGCCAGTTTTCCAACTGTCCATGCTTTAAACTATTTCAGCCATTCAGCTCATCAACACATACCTCCTTCCCCTGCTGAAGCTGACACGAAAAGCTGAACAATATGTTTAGGACATTTATTAATCTGGGGAAATCAACCAAGTGATGCGAGTCTTGATAATCTGACCAACACATACCCACTGTTATTGTACATATTTTCTTGACTTGGCTGGCTCAAGTGGGGATTTTGTATTCTGAAAATTCATTCAACCAGCCTCACATAATTACTCTTAAGGATTTTGCTAGTCTTTGTCGATATGATTTAATTATTTTCTTTTAAATCTGGGAGACACGGATGGCCCAGTCGACTAAGGCGCCGCGATTTGCTGTGCAGCATTGAGTCCTGTGGGCATGCCAGTAACCCATGATTGTGGGTTCTAGTCCCGGTTCGCCCCGATTATGTTTGCAGGTTTGTCAGCACCATACCCGTGCTCGTGGGTTTCACCGAAGTGGTAAACGTATGAGACCTGCATCACTTCGGGCTTTCCTCCCACATTAAGCTGACACGCCATGATATAACTGGAATACTGTTAAAAGTGGCATTAAACCCAACTCACTCCCTTTTAAATCTGAATGATTTAACCTAACTTTCCAATTGGAAAAGGAAGAGCATTCTCATGGGCAAAGGACCTCCATAAGCTACCATCACTACTGATCCACCCCATAGTGCTTCTGGGGAAGACGAGGTCCCAAGTACCCCATGCTTGTTGTAAGAGCTGATTGAGAGGAATGGGTGGTCAGTTTCGGTGATCAGTGATTTTGTTGATGGTGTGTCGTGCCCTGATGGACTGTTGCTCATGTTTTCAGTCACTGGTTTGCCTGATCCAGACCTGAGTATTTACAGGCAGCAATGTTTAAGGGAGACTATGCTTCATGGTCCCATTTTCAGTCTCGGGTATTATCAGACCAAGGAACCAAGGGAGGCAACTCAGTCTGCACAGCGAGTTGCCAAACAGTGTCACAAGAAATTATGAGAATCTTTATGACTGAAATTATCTCATCTCATCATCATCATCCATTAAGTGCTAATTGTTATTTTATATATGGCAGCATTATACACAATGATCAGTTTTGTAACAATTGTCATTCCAAATAGTAATATAGTCTAGAAGAATTTTATACTGAAAATATACTGACAATGGCAATAAAGAAAATACACAAATGTGTCACTTCTATTTTATTTGTTTTCCTGAATTACAGATTCCTGTTTTTCTCAGATGAAGTGTTAGTGAGTGAGTGAGTGAGTGCTATTTCACCTCCCCCTTGAACCGACCACCTGCGTGGGTAGTGGATAGATTGTCTACATGGAGACCGCATCAATGGTGTAGTGGATAGAGTGTCTACCTGGAACCACCTGCGTGGGTAGTGGATAGAGTGTCTGCATGGAGACCGCCTACATGGTGTCGTGGATAGAGTGTCTGCCAAGAGACCACCTGCGTGGGTAGTGGATAGAGTGTCTACCTGGAGACCGCCTCCATGGTGTAGTGGATAGAGCGTCTACATGCAGACCGCATCAATGGTGTAGTGGATAGAGTGTCTCCCTGGAGACCACCTGCGTGGGTAGTGGATAGAGTGTCTACCTTGAGACCGCCTCCATGGGGTAGTGGATAGAGTGTCTGCATGGAGACCGCATAAATGGTGAGTGTCTGCCTGGAGACCACCTGCGTGGGTAGTGGATAGAGTGTCTCCCTGGAGACCGCCTCCATGGTGTCGTGGATAGAGTGTCTGCCTGGAGACCACCTACGTGGGTAGTGGATAGACTGTCTACATGGAGACCGCATCAATGGTGAGCGTCTGCCTGGAGACCACCTGCGTGGGTAGTGGATAGAGCGTCTGCCCGGATACCGCCTCCATGGGGTAGTGGATAGAGCGTCTGCCTGGAGACCGCCTCCATGGTGTCGTGGATAGAGTGTCTACATGAAGACCGCCTACATGGTGTCGTGGATAGAGTGTCTACATGGAGACCGAATCAATGGTGTCGTGGATAGAGCGTCTACATGAAGACCGCCTACATGGTGTCGTGGATAGAGTGTCTACATGGAGACCGAATCAATGGTGCCATGGATAGAGCGTCTACATGAAGACCGCCTACATGGTGTCGTGGATAGAGCGTCTACATGGAGACCGAATCAATGGTGTCATGGATAGAGCGTCTACATGAAGACCGCCTACATGGTGTCGTGGATAGAGTGTCTACATGAAGACCGCCTACATGGTGTCGTGGATAGAGTGTCTACATGGAGATCGAATCAATGGTGTCGTGGATAGAGCGTCTACATGAAGACCGCCTACATGGTGTCGTGGATAGAGTGTCTACATGGAGACCGAATCAATGGTGTCGTGGATAGAGCGTCTACATGAAGACTGCCTACATGGTGTCGTGGATAGAGTGTCTACATGGAGACCGCCTACATGGTGTCGTGGATAGAGCGTCTACATGAAGACCGCCTACATGGTGTCGTGGATAGAGTGTCTACATGGAGACCGAATCAATGGTGTCGTGGATAGAGCGTCTACATGGAGACCGAATCAATGGTGTCGTGGACAGAGTGTCTACATGGAGACCGCCTCCATGGTGTCGTGGATAGAGTGTCTACATGGAGACCGAATCAATGGTGTCGTGGATAGAGCGTCTACATGAAGACCGCCTACATGGTGTCGTGGATAGAGTGTCTACATGAAGACCGCCTACATGGTGTCGTGGATAGAGCGTCTACATGGAGACCTAATCAATGGTGTCGTGGACAGAGTGTCTACATGGAGACCGCCTCCATGGTGTCGTGGATAGAGAGTCTACATGAAGACCGCCTACATGGTGTCGTGGATAGAGTGTCTACATGGAGACCGAATCAATGGTGTCGTGGATAGAGTGTCTACATGAAGACCGCCTACATGGTGTCGTGGATAGAGTGTCTACATGGAGACCGAATCAATGGTGTCGTGGATAGAGCGTCTACATGAAGACCGCCTACATGGTGTCGTGGATAGAGCGTCTACATGAAGACCGCCTACATGGTGTCGTGGATAGAGCGTCTACATGGAGACCAAATCAATGGTGTCGTGGATAGAGCGTCTACATGAAGACTGCCTACATGGTGTCGTGGATAGAGTGTCTACATGAAGACCGCCTACATGGTGTCGTGGATAGAGTGTCTCCCTGGAGACCACCTGCGTGGGTATTGGATAGAGTGTCTACCTTGAGACCGCCTCCATGGGGTAGTGGATAGAGTGTCTGCATGGAGACCGCATAAATGGTGAGTGTCTGCCTGGAGACCACCTGCGTGGGTAGTGGGTAGTGGATAGAGTGTCTGCATGGAGACCGCCTCCATGGTGTCGTGGATAGAGTGTCTGCCTGGAGACAACCTACGTGGGTAGTGGATAGAGCGTCTGCCCGGATACCGCCTCCATGGGGTAGTGGATAGAGCGTCTGCCTGGAGACCGCCTCCATGGTGTCGTGGATAGTGTCTACATGAAGACCGCCTACATGGTGTCGTGGATAGAGTGTCTACATGGAGACCGAATCAATGGTGTCGTGGATAGAGCGTCTACATGAAGACCGCCTACATGGTGTCGTGGATAGAGTGTCTACATGAAGACTGCCTACATGGTGTCGTGGATAGAGTGTCTACATGGAGACCGAATCAATGGTGTCGTGGATAGAGCGTCTACATGAAGACCGCCTACATGGTGTCGTGGATAGAGTGTCTACATGAAGACTGCCTACATGGTGTCGTGGATAGAGTGTCTACATGGAGACCGAATCAATGGTGTCGTGGATAGAGCGTCTACATGAAGACCGCCTACATGGTGTCGTGGATAGAGTGTCTACATGGAGACCGCATCAATGGTGTAGTGTATACAGCGTCTGCTCAGAGAGGACTATTGACTTGAGTCAGTTTACTGTGTCTGGGTGGGGTATCCATGTTAAACTGTGGCATGGTATCTCAGTGAGCCAGCACAATAGAACCACATAAGTCCTGACTAGTACAAGAAGACACACTCACACGTGCATGCTTGACACTATACAAGTTGATAAGTTTGGAGGCAAAAGTCGTCCCCATTTCACCTCCCTCACTTTCGACCACTATCTTACTAAGAAGGAAAGGGCACAAACCCCAAGCCTGGTTCAAGTTTACAGAAGAAATATTGAAGGTCTTCCAGAGTAGTTCCAGAAACTCAACCTTCAAATACATGTAATGCACAAATAAGAAAAACAAATGTCAAAACCATTGTTGAAATTTTTGAAATTTTCTGAAATTGTGCAGTCTTAAATTTTGGACGACCAGTGAAACAGATGATTCTTTCATAATTATGTTGACGATGTCAGACACACTTTTTGATGTACCATAACACCATGTTTTTCAGTGTGGTTCCAGAAAATCAGCTTTCAGTTTGTTATGCAACTTAAGTTAGAATGCAAATTAAATTAAAAAGGACAACAGCCCCTGCATTACCACCGACTAAGTACAGTGTGCAGTGGATTAAGGGCACACTTACAGATCTTGGCCTGCCAGTTATCTTTGGGAGGTACACAATACTCTTTCAGTGTTTGGTGCAGGATGTTTGTTAGCTCACCTGACTGAAAGTCGAGTGAGCTGATGTCATGTCCTGTTTGTCCTACGTACATCATAAACATCGCAGAAACCAATGAAGCGGATACTTCAAATGCTTGTTCCACCTGGTCAACAGGTTGGAATCCAATTTTCAATGTGGTTGCCTGAGAAGCCTTCTTACAAAAGCTATTTATGGCCTTTACCTGGTCATTATGTTAATAATCTAGTCAGTACTTAGGACCCATGTTCTATATTTGCAACTTTTGTAAAAAAAATTACAATTAGGCTTAAAAAAAAAGAAAGAATTGGATCTCAGGCAGGCAATGGCTTTTGAAAATATAGTGTGGGCAGGTTTTTTTTTGTTTTTGGGGGGTTGTTCTAACTAGTATGTAACCAAATAAACAGTTGTGTATCCAAATAAACAGTTGTGTACAATCAACCTGGGAGAGGGCCTCCCTACATAAATGTTTTCCTTGATGAGTCAAAAACTAGAATACAGAATTTTACCACCGTTGGACTTGCAATATTTAAGGATATTATTTTTTTTTAAATGGAAATGAAAATGAAACATGTGGCGAACTTTTTGATGTCATTGATGATGCGGGCAGTGCCTGAGAACCAAGATTATTTTCTTTTTTAGCCTTATATATTTTCTATTTGGACCTGTGGCTCCAGTCAGTCAAACCCGCAAAAAGGAAAAAAGCTTGTGCAGTCACTGTGACCATGCACTCCACAGAAAATGGAGAAATCAAACAGACTAATCATAATTTAATACATTTTCAAGGTTTTTCAGTCCACATATTCACAATTCACAACTGAATCTCACACAGCACTATGCAGCTTATATCATCTCATGACCTTACACTATGACTGATGGACACTTGAAACCTACAGTCAACATGTCAAATATCACTTTCACTAACATACATTGGAAGTCAACATAATTATAGTCTGCGGTATCACAATCTTGCAAACGTGGATATTAACCTTCCAGTAAATGTGAATTTCAAGTGAACCATATGTTTTGTTTGTTGTTTAACGCCGCACTCAGCAATATTCCAGCTATATGACGGCGGTCTGTAAATGATTGAGTCTGGACCAGACAATCCAGTGATTGACAACAGGAGCACAATTGGGATACGATGACATGCATCAACCAAGTCAGTGAGCCTGACCACCCGATCCCGTTAGTCGCCTCTAACAACAAGCATAGTCACCTTTTACGGCAAGCATGGGTTGCTGAAGACCTATTCTACCCCGGATCTTCACGGGTCGTCCATCAAAGACTTGATTCGACAGCATATCTGTTTTCATCTTTATCTCTCATTTGTTTATGCCAACAGCAAAGAAATGAATAAGTCTTTGAATAATGTCCACTTTCAATGATAAGATGTCAGCTCTTGGACTTTTCCAAAGAAATCTTCTTCCTTTCTTTCTCAATCCACTTGTCCATATCCTGTGAAAAAAACACTCAATCAGTGACAAAAAATACAGTCTGTCTAACTGAGGTCACACATTTATATTTTGGGGTTACAGTATTTTTCTAACCAATCAATTTGACCTGCATCACTTCAGGTTTTCCTCCCACATTAAGCTGACAAACCATACTATAACTGGAATACTGTTAAAAGCAGCGTTAAACCCAACTCACTCACAATTGGGTTGGTCAAAATAAAAATAAATTTGTGTGCTTAATAGTTTTGGGTTTCATTTGGCATGAAGTTGTTTGGGTGGCAGTTGCCAGGTACTACATACAAAAACTATAATTTTTTAATATCAAACTAAACCAGCGGTCAGAGGAACAAACATTTCTATTTCATTTCATAATTGTGGTGTTCAGCTATGGTTGATGATAATTGAGAAAAATAAAAAAATTATTGGATTTCTTGTTCATTGGACATGTTGGATGAGCTGCCTCGTTTTCCTAGTCTAAACATCATGAGGGGGGCACAGGTGGCCCAGTCGTCTGAGGCGCCGGGATTCGCTGTGCAGAGTTGCATCCCTTGGGCACGCCAGAAACCTATGATTATGTTTCTAGGTTTGTCAGCACTATACCCATGCTCGTGGGTTTCGCTGAAGTGGTAAACGTCTGAGACCTGCATCACTTTGGGCTTTCCTCCCACATTAAGCTGACATGCCGCGATATAACTGGAATACTGTTAAAAGTGGCGTTAAACCCAACTCACTCACTCACTCACTAAACATCATGATGGTAATTTTGTTGGATATGACCACATGCCTTTAATAAGATCATATGCTGTGCCTCCAATAAATTTAAAACTATTCCTTTAGGACGTCTAACACCATGCCTTACCAAGCCTTACACTATGTATACCTACATCCAACGGCCGATACAGCAGGTGGACTGTCTGGGACCCAGCAAACATGGACAACATGGCTGCTGCTGTGAAGCGCAGATACCGGCCCCAGGTCACTCCAGCAGGCATGATGGGACGTCAGGAACCGGTACCGATGTGCAGCTGACCACCTAGGACGAGGCTTCCTCGAGCTCTAGGGCTTTTCTGATTGCTTGTTTCCTCTTGTACACAGAATCTGAAACCAACAGAACACTTTTCAGATATTCTTGCCCATACTAAGAATGAAAAAATATAGTTGATCCACTTGTCTCAAGCTAGGGTCTAGTCTTTCTTTTTGTCTAATAAAAGTCTAAATTCTACTGGAAATGAATAAAATGTTTGCAAATACTAGCAAAAACAGAAGCAACTCCAGATATCATTCCATATACTACACACCTTCACTCATGTCTTGAGGTGAAATGATACATGTATGTTTTTTTCTGCATCAATACAAGACAATGCACTTGCTAAAACAATGCTAAAATACACTACTCGTTTAAATGAATAAATTTTGAGTGTCTACACTGTCTAGATACAAATTTTGGAATATTGATACAAAATTGATAATTCACTGACATAGAAACATTTGCAGGTCACAGACGTTTACCAGATTGGTGAAACCCACAATCAATCGATCAATCAATGACACCACTAAGGAACACCAATGTCTAATGCAAGGAAGTCCTTTGCCTCCAGATACAAGGGCAAGTATAGTTAAAACATTTAATTCAGATTTTGTTAGATACAGATACATGAAGCCATTTTCTTAGGAGAAAAAAATCATAACATTCACAGAAAGTTCAAGTGTAAGGGATGAAATCACACGTTCTGTAATCGCCTTTCAAAACAAATATATTTTGGGGCATGGTCTAGAGCTACTGGCACAGCAGTGTGTGACAAATGTTTTCACTGGCTGATATGTAGACTTGGGTGCAGCATCCATCTTGTGATATACGGATACGTCAGGAAGCGGTCAGCCACAACTCAAACATCAGTCAAGAGCAAATTTGAGGATGAATGGGTTCTTATTTACATTCGGAATAGATTGATATAAGTTCATTTCAAGATGCAGAAACAAGACATGCTCGTCTGAATACTTTGCTCACTTGTGTGCTGTAAATGTAGAAGTATCAACAATGACCATGACAGGGCTGTACATGTTCACTAAACTGTCATATCATACCAGAGATAGAAATGAACACAGGACCATGTAACAATAAAAATATAAAAAAGTTGCATAAAAAGGCCAAAAGGTCCATGATTTTTTTTGCGACTTTTTATATATTTTTATTGTTACATGGTCCTGTGCTTGGAATCTTCACGATCTCAGCCTCTAGACCTCTTGATATAAGGTTAAATGTCTTAGATTACATGTGTATTCCAACTGAATTGCAACTTTAATTGAGATGCAAAGTTTTGCGCCCAATAAAGTATATAATCGCGCCAATTATTCAGGCAGTGTTAAGTTTGACCTTCAAAATCACTTTCATCATGTGATCGAAAATTGAACAAATTGTTCTACTTACAAAAGTTTACTTCTCCAACTTGCCAATGGATCATTGAAAATTCAACAGTAGCTCCAAGTATAAAAAAGCAAGGAAGGAATCTATAAATGCCAAAAAGTCGCTTTCCGGGCCATTTGTCTATAAAAGATCGAATAAATCTATCAGTTGACATTGTTACATTATGTAAACATGGATTTCGTGCATGGCTACATGGGCGCGGCCATTTTCTTTTTCAACGCATGCGCAAAGGGAGTAATGGCGATTTACTGTTTTGTAAAGCTATACATGATTGGATCCTTTGTAATCCTTGTGGCCAATCAGTGGAAGTTTCTTAATCGGGCATCTGTTCGAAACAAAGCCAACATGGAGTGAACTGGCGCTCGCTGAAGCTGGAAAAAAATCTCACTGAAGGTACATCTAGAGGCTCCCGCGGTAAATGCTATTGATCGTCGTTATCTTTAACGCTCTCTTTCCCCGATGCTTCTTCCTTTCGGCTCAGCATCAACGCGATCGCAGAGTAGAGCTGGTTGAAAATTACAACAAATGTCATATCATCGAAACCTTTTGTAGATCGTCATCATCCGCTGACATTTCATTATGGAAGGTTATTATTTCATGTTCGATTTTTTAAACATCAAAACTGCCATGCTATATCAAACGACAGATTCGATTCCCATCAAGTTGTCGTTGCTGGCACTCTTTTAGGCACAAGGAATCAAATTTTGATATTTTCCGAGTTGAATTTGTCATTTTGCCGATTTTGCCGACACGTTGTAGGCCCTAGAGAAATATTAATGGTCGTAGATCTAGGCCTAATCACCAAGACCTGTCCTACCATATTAATTAGCATTTGCTGATGAAATTATACATAGAAACTGGGATAGAATTTACACCGAAATTGCTTTTATTTGTGTACCGTACAGCTCAACTTTTTGTTTTAGAGCAATTTGGACCAAGCAGTAACTGTCACTGATCCAGGACTAAGACTGCTACTATTATACATTTCTGGTTTCACGTTTCTTGTTCAATCAGGACATCACTTTCTGGGATGATTTGTAACCTAATTTCCACTTCTATGTGTACCTAAACTTTGAAGTCTTTTTTTTTTATTACAATCTGAATAAAAAGTAATAAACTCACACTGTATGATTCAAGTCAGTACAATAGAATTCCATGGACATAAGTTCGGGAACAGCTAAAGGAAGGCTCATTACACATCTTTTCACCAATTCCTGGGAATTTCAGTCTCTTGACCTGCCATCCCTTTGTTGTAATACTAATCACTGATAATGGTAAAGGAGCAGTTCTATAATGTCTAGACATAAAATAATGTCCTATAATGGACAAATGTCATGCATCTGGAGTGTTTCCTCCACACTTATTTTGTAGGTCTTGTGAACATGGTAAATCATTGTCCATTTTCTGTTCAGTATGGTCATGATTATTGATACCATAGCAAATTGTGAAACACCTTATTTGACCAAGTAGGATTTGACATGTTTGGCACAGGCTGAAATAAATCATAATTCTGGTTACAGTAACCAGTTACCTTGGAGATTTTGCTCATCCATTTTTAGTTGTAAGCATGATCATGGCATACTTGTGATTTTGGAAATCATTACGACTGATAATAATGATTCAAAATAAACATGTTAAATGTCATCGTGAATATCATCATACAGTGCACATCACAATCAAAGTTCATCTTATTGATCACTGAAGGGCTGTGATGTAGCCTAGTGGTGAATAGAGCTGATTTGCCTGGTAACTTGTGATATGATTAGTATCGCGATACAGACTGACAATACTACTTGTATCAAGATACACCACATCGAATAGTAAGAAATGATGAAATCACTGAAATACAGTTCAAAAACGTCTTTCTTCATACATTTATTTATTGTTATCTCAAAAAGTTTAACAAAGAAAACCACAAGAACTAAACAGTTTTTATGAAGGGATGGTTATTTATTTAACAGTTAGTCAGCGTTTCCTCCGTCCTTGTGTTCTGTGATGCTACTTCTTCCATTATGGAGGTAGCTATCAGTTCCTGTTCTATTTATAGTGTATTGCGATCTCACAAACTGATGAGTCAAGTATCGTGTGTACCTAAGTATCAATGATATCTTGGTATCGGTGAATTGTACCGCCCTAGTGATGAAAGTGTTGGCTCATCATGCTGAAGACCAGTGTTTGATTCCCCACGTGGCATCTTCCTGAAACAAGGGAGTTAACTGACCATAAAAGTCCAGTTTCCACCCTTGTCGAACTAGGCTTGAATTCTGGAGTTTAAATTTTGCTGGACTGACATGTCTATTTAGATATCGGTCGACTGCAGGATTTGCAAAGCATGTGTACTGGTCGTTGACAGATATGTTGCAAATCTTTTCATGTTTTTAATCACGGTGCTCAAGTGATTTGATGCATTTTCAGGGTAAGACCTGTTTTATAATAATATTGATCTTGAATTTTGTGATCAGATCGTCTTGCCTGGGTGCCATTATTTTGTTTGAAGCAAATGCAAGTGATATCAGAGATTGAATCTGATTGGCCATTAGGAGGGACATAGAAGGGACATAACTCATTATAGCCACTGGTGTCACTACATTTGACCCTGGAAATTTCAGCCTAGTTTGGCAAGGGTGGAAACTGGACTTTTATAGTCAGTTAACACCCTTGCCTCGGGAAGATGCCACATGGATACATTGTGTGAAACCCATTCATGGTATCCTCCAGCTGTGTGGTTAGTCCAATGTTTGAAATTAAGAACTGAAAGTCATGACTGATGTTACAAGTATGTATGTTGAATGTTCTCATTATAAGGACTGGTGGTCTAAAACTGTTAGTTTCTATTGCAAAATAATGGTCAAAGCTATTTTCAAGCCAACTTATTCTCTGTTTGTACATAATTAATGTCTGCAGCGATAGGAACTAACCTTTTTAGTCCACTAGTCCTTAATATAACATACAGTCAAGTCTCGTTAATCCGACATCGTTGGTTGCACATGATTGTGTCGGATTAACGAGTATGTCGGATTAACAAAATTAAGTAATTTGTGATCGAAAATCGGACATCTTCACGATAGATAATAACCGTGTGTTTCCTCGTGTAAATGCAAGTGCTACTGTCTTAACAACTTGCTTCATCTACTTAAAATAGTCTGTCAGTGTTTTCTGTTTCTCACATTTTGAAGGCACATTTCTCAAAGTCCCCTGTTCGCTTGACGTCTAGGGCTGGTGGTTCTTCAGCATCAACATTGTCGAGGTGTAATTTCATTTGTTTCTTATAATAAAGCTTGAAATTCTTTATGATCCCGGCATCTAGTGTTAATTGTTAAAGTTAATCTCTGCAGCCAGTGCGTGTCAAAACACGGGGTTGTGTACTCGCGGGCAGATGACCACGGAGTACGCTGACCACTGTGTCGGATTAACGAGACTGATTAATGAGTGATTTCGGTAATTCGTTGCAAATTAGGTGTGTCGGAGTCGGAGTGCGAGAATGTCGGATTAACGGGACTAAATTGCGCTGAATCAATCGGTTCCCATCATTTGTGTCGGATAAAGCCGAGTGTCGGATTAACGAGACTTGACTGTATACTGGTCATCGACAAGTTATCACCATTTCTTTCATGTTATTTCTGAAATATTATGAAATACTATGGATTTTGCGATACATACAGAGTTATGCATTGTTGGTAAAAAGGAGGAAATAGGTTGTAGAATTGTAATTTGGGGAAGAAATGACAGTGAGCTATGAGAACTGAATGTGCATCATTATGTTGGAATTTTGTTGTTTATGCGTGAATTAGTCACGTGACCTCCCGCGTGTCTCTTCTAAAGTTGTATTTGAGCAAGGTGATTATATGGTTTGTTTTTAAGTTTTCTTCACAATAGTCAGTTTTGTTAATCATTTTTGGATAAACATTACTCTCTTCTCAAGACTGAGCAAAAGTAAAATGAGATTCAATCACAAGCAACAGGGAGTTGGCTATAATTGGTCCTCGGCGATAACAGATTGCTAGCCAGTAGCAAAACCCTTAAAAAATGACATTGCTACTAGTCCTTATGGTACTTTAAATATTAGGAAGTTCAGCAAGGACTATAGGACTAGTGCCAATTTTTATTTTATGTTTTCAAAGTCAATGTGTTTTGATGCTTTCCGTGAATGAGACACATGATGGTGACAAGATGTTTAGCATTTTTCCTAACTTGATGTGTGCTCTCTTAGCATGTTTAAAGAGTGTTGACAAGTTTTCATGTGACACACATTTGATGCAGTGCTTTGTTGCAGGTCCCCTACCCCCAAGGCCTGGGCCACATCAGTATTCCCCTACCCAGTATTGGTCACAATAGCAACATGGACGAAAGCGTGCCCATTTTGTGAGTATAAGCTACCAAGGCTCATGACAGGGTGACATGAGACTTTTGAAACCAGGTCATTTCAGATGTCATGAGTGGATTAATATTTATGTATAAAAAGATACCCAGAACTGTTTGCAGGGCTCTATTTAACTATACAAAACATGCACCAGTGCATCCTATTATTAAAAAGCGCAACGTAATATTTAAATCTACATGCACCAAGTGCAAGTTCAACATTTTACAATTTGTGTGTGACTAACCCTTGCTTTTCCACACAAAAACAATCTTTGAATACACTCAATGCCTCTAAGTTCCATGTACCAGACTACATCACTAATCCCATGTGTTTGACATCAAACTGTTGGTACTTCAAGATTACGTGCAAATGTTCCTGTAACGCTTTGCAATTGAAGCAATAGATCAATAATTTATGTAAAATGATGACCGTGTCATCAGAGATCTGGGATTTTATTTATTTAGACTAGTTTATGCATCTGTGTTTCAACTTTGGTCATGTTATGGTTTTGTCTGGTGCCACTAGGTTTCCATGTCAACATGCACTGAGTACAAGTTAAATAGAGTTCCTTTAATCAAGCCCTGGTCTGTTTTGATCCATCAGTATTAAACAGATCTTATACAATCTGTGCCAATGGACAGCGATTTTACGAGCATGACTAGCCCAATCTTGTCTTTCTGCATCTTTTTCTGTAGCTTTTACTCCCTACATGCTTACAGGCACTTGGGCTGTCATAAGATCAGCTTACCATCCCCACCATACTCGATCATGTATGATATCTATGAGTACCATGTGCCAATGTTAAAGTATGGGGGTTACAAGCATCTTGGTGCTAAGATCACTTTGTGGAATGGGTCCAAGGACCAATTCACAACCATACCTTTTTCTATTGTTTGGGGGGCGGTCGGGTAGCCTAGTGTTCGCTCGTCACACTGAAGACCGGGGTTCAATTCCCGACATGGGTACAATGTGTGAAGCCCATTTCTGGTGTCCCCCGCCGTGATATTGCTGGAATATTGCTAAAAGCGGCGTATAACCATACTCACTCACTCTATTGTTTGGTTTGAATGAGACTGAAGTTAGTGGTTCAATCAACATACTGTTCTTTTATGATTGAAACAAGTGGCGATATTACTAATACTCTCCTGGCATACTGTCTCAAATACATACACATTGACATTAAAGACTTCCCTTCTCCATCTTTATCTCCGTCATTGATAGCAGTCCTCTGATTTGACTAAAAATACTGAGGACTAACTCATGCGATTTCGAATGTATATCATGTTGTATCTATGCCACACTCATGTTCAGAATTCTTTGCTAAGGTAGTGATTGGAGATGTTTATGACTTCCAAAATGAAGCTTGTTCGAAACTGGCCTGAAATTTTAAGAGGGCATATTTCTTTGTTATTATCAATGTACATGTTATTGGCAAAAGAATTGTAACGAAAAGTCTGTCTGCCTTGTCTGTTGTTTGTCACATGGCCCTGTTATTAATCCTTTGTTGTCACTGTGTTTGCCTCTGTAATTGTTTGTGTGTGACCCAATCTCATTAAAATCAGATCTTAGTGTGTGACCCAGTGGCATGGTGGCTTATATCGCAACATTCATCAGTTTTAGTCCTCTGCAAAGTGATGATCAATCAAGTGAGATTTGTTGTGGAAATCTGAACTACATTTTCTTTATCATGTTTATAGTTTTACACCTTCAGATTTGAAGGAATTTGGTCATTTTGTTTGAAAATAACAGATTTTCACGTTAAGCATGGAAATAGAATCAGATAGCTTGCTCTTTATGTCTACCTATGCTGTCTGTGTGACTTGTTGTATGAGTAACAGTGCATTGTAGTGTTGACAGTTGTTTCTCTGGTGTTTTGTCTCTAGTGTGTGTAATGAAAGATTATGCAGTGAGCACCCACCCAGGTACTCAAGGTTCAAGAAATGCCAGGGGAAATGGATCCAGGCCATCTATTTACATCTATGCTTGACCATCTACAAGGAACTAAACTAAAGTTGTTCAAAGCAGTAGGATCACTTAAATTTGTTCCTCAACATGCTCAGTCTTGTTTGCAAGAGGTAGATTAAATGGGAATTTAGCAGTCACAATGGCTGCTGAAGAGGAATAATTGTTTTTGGAATGACCATCCACATTTTCAGCAAGAAACAAAGAATAAGTTGCAGCTGTGCCAAAAAGACATTTTAGACTACTACTTTGAATAATGTTCAGTAGCTGAACTTACAAGACCTAACAGACTTTTACTAGACTCGGGCTTCGGACTAATGACTAGTCACAGACTGAAGTAGCCATCTGGATATAGCTAGAAGTCAAATTCTCAACTATCGACTAACAATGATTGATAAATAGACAGATAAACATGATAAATACATAGCATGTTTTGTCTCATGTTGTATGTATTGAAAATGCTGCATCTCACAGTGATGACATGGACTGTTACAACTCCAGTTATCTTCTGGTTTGCATAGACATAGTCTGGCTCAAACACTTCAGGTGTAATAGTGCTGACTGCGCCTAATATTATTCACTCACTCACTCACTCACCTAGCATTGATGTAGCATGTGTAGTCTGAGCATGTTTGACGTATACTTATTGCAGTACCCCAGCCCAGTTCCAACTCCCAGCCAGATTCCAACAGCTACCCAACCCTCTGCCCATGAACCTGATGAGGCCGGGACCTCCCGGCGCTATGGTCAAAGCATACAGTAGTATGATGTTTGACTATTGCAGCACGCCTGCTCAGTTCCAACTCCCTGCGGGGTTCCAGCAGCTCCCAGACTCCATGCCCATCAAACAGGAGCCTCAGGAGCCTCAACCTGTCATTGACCTTCAACCTCCTGCCAAGGCCAAGGCCAAGAAGAAGAAGATTAAGAAGGAACCCCAAGACAAGTGAGAGATGGATAAGGATAGATCATGGCATATGTCTCATTGTCTGTATGGAATTGTTAACTGAATAATGTTGGCCGATGAGTCGTCAGGAATCATGAATAGTGTAGGCTTTGTTTTTGAGTTCAGTTCCTTGTTTCAACAACAGCTGAAATTGGTGATATATGATTTACATGTTTCCTGTATGATTTTTGTTACGTTTATCATGTTTATATTGTCACGTTCATGATGTCAAGGATATAAGAAAAAAATTCAATTTTAAGCATACACCAACAATGGTATCTTTCCTATAATTTTGACAAAAGGTTACTAAGGGAAAGGTATTTTTGAGAATTTCTCTTTAACTTCCATTTTAATTTTTTTTTTTCTTCATATTTTGAAGGGTCTTCTAGACATGTCTAAAAGCTTTTTCAAATTACCTGTTATAACATGATTTGTTACATTAGATGTTATATTGTGCCAAAATTTAATTATTCTGTCCGGATTGTGTGACATATTGCATATTTGCAAGCATCCAACATTGTAACCTATTGGAGAAAGTTGATTAATCGTTATCAGTATCAATATTCACTCACTCACTCACTGTCTCTGTACTGGCTTTGTAGGACACAGGTTGTGGAAGGAGAAGATGGGAAAGCCCCCAAGAAGAAGTTAAAACAAGAGAAGATTACAGAGCATCTGACAGTGAAGAAGAAACGTGACCGCTTTAACGGCATGCCTGAGGAAGAGGTGGTTCTGAGGCTGTTGCCAGATCACTTGATGGAGAATCTGGACATTGTCATTGTAAGAGAAGGGGTGGATTGGATGCTATTAAAAATTGATTATAAGTGTTAAAAATTAATGAGGTTCCTTGAAGGTTGCTCCTATAGTTTTTGAATTAGGGACCCATGAAACGTAAACTTTCAACATTAGGAATATGATGAGGACCCCTTGACTCGCATGGTTAATTCTGAACACTGCTAATGTTGGGTCTCCCAACCCAATATGATGAATAAATACCTCTCAAAATAACCCCCCCCAAAAGTTAAAAAACATTTTTTCCCCAATTTGCCTGCCTAGGGCACTTAGTTTAGAATCCTAGGTAAATCGCTGATGTATGATGGGTGTTGTAACCTTGAACTTGACTTTGATGTTTTGGATATGACTTCTGACAGACACACAGGCTTCTTCTGACACTGACATTGACTGTGTCAAACAATTGTTTTTGAACTTTGTTTTTACTCTTACTTCTATAAATTTGTTTTGTTAACTTTAAGTCATGTGCATAACGTATTGAATGTCTTACAATCTGTGTCCCAGACTACTACCTTATTAGCAAGTTTTACTCCTTTCATATGAGCAATCACAAGCTCTCCTTGCTAGACCAGTTGACATTTCTCAGAAGACAAGGACTGATTTGAAACTATGTATCTATATAAAAGTGTATTACTTCTAGCCTTCCAGTGGTATGAGCTATTTGTTCTCACGATGCATTCATTTCACCAGGGGGTGCAATTAGCTGTGCAGAGTTGTGTCCCTTGTGCACACCAGAAACCTATGACTGCTGGAATCCCGGTTCACCCTGATAATGTTTCTTGGTTTGTCAGCACCATACCTGTGCTCATGGGTTGCACCAAAGTAGTAAGCACCTGAGGCATGCATCACTTCGGGCTTTCCTCCCACAGTAAGCTGACACGCCGTTTTATGACTGGAATTCTATTCAAAACGGTGTTAAGCATGACTTACCCACTTGTTCTCACCAGGTGGGAATCAACCCAGGACTGTTTGCTGCCTACGTCGGACATCACTATGCTGGGCCAGGAAACCACTTCTGTAAGTACACCAATCTCATTAAAATCAGATCTTAGTTCTCGCTACCGCTAAACAAAGATCTGAGGACATCACATTACGGGTCATGTCAGACCGACCTTGGGCAAACTTTGACTGACCAATGGAATGACCAGTCAGAGGGCAGCTTTCTCGTGCTTTACGGCACAAATTTCAAATTGGCGACTACGCTTCGAAACATATTTTGACAAATTTGAAACCTGAACAAAAATAATATTCTGGAATGGCTAATAGATGGTCTAGATTGTAAGGACTCAGTCGTTAAACCCCTTACTATCGTTCGGAATACCCCATGTTAATGTTTTCGAGATTGCATGATTAGAAATCACATTCTGATTGTCACTTTCATAATCTTGTAAGCGATGCACTGATTGGTTGGATGAAAGGTCGTTCTGACGTGACATCTAATGGGATGTCTTCAGATCTTTGTTTAGCGGTAGCGAGAACTAAGATCTGATTTTAATGAGATTGGTAAGTACACTGAAAGAACATGAAACTCAAAGAATCCATCTCTTCTCAGTACCTACTGACATAGTGCTCACTTGGCTCGTTTATCTGATGATAATGCATGTAAGACTCTCTGATAGTTAGCAATGGTTAGTGATACATCACAGGACTGAGGCTAGGTACATCTGTGTGCATGTGGACTTGTGACATCTGATATGTTCAGCATAGGGATATATCTAGGCCATCTCAGAGACCATGTTCGGCCTCAGGCAGATGTTATTACTAATCCACATGGGTACAAAACTGGATAAAATGTGATTCCTCTTTGTAGACATGTTAGACGTGGTAACTGGTTTCCCCAGATACAAGGACCAACAGAAGGACTTCAATATTTATCATGTTTAGTTAAAATTGATTTCATCATTGAATTCAAAAAACAATTTAACAAAATAAGGACTACAATAATCCCATATGCCTGCCCCAAGCAATTGAAACAAAACCTAATCAAACCCCTTCAGCATTTAATTACTGGTATGAATATCTGTCAATCTAAATGTCACATAATATAATTGACAGTCTAGATGAAACAGAAACAGGATGTTTTTACAAGAAAATACATACAAACCACTTATGAACGCCTGACTTAACCTTCCTCTTCTCGCAGGGAAATGCCTGTTCCTGTCAGGTCTCATCCCGGAACCCATGAATGCCTACCAGGATCATGAACTTCAAAATTTCGGCATTGGCTTCACAAATATTTGTGCTAGGACCACAAGAGGAAGTGCAGATCTGAAGAGGTAGGGGACATAACTCTCTTTCTAAAGATATCTTCTCATGAATAATAAACAGCTGTTGGACATCATTCTGTTCAGTAATTCTGGTTAATACGGGATATTTTCGTCAGTGCTTTTGTTTCTAAAAGACTTATCACCTACCACTTACTGACTTTGGAGGTCAGGAAGGTCAGTATGCTGTTAATAGGCTAAACCTGATGCACTTACCCAACACAATATTATACAATCCCAGGATTTGCACCAGGTACGGTCTGTCAACATCAAGTTAGTATATGTGTTTCACCATTGTGATAATATGACCAGCTTTGTTTTGGGTCTCATCCCCGAAGCCATGAATGCTTCCTCCCACGTTATATCCTGACACAGTAGGGGCATGTTGTTGCAGGACTGAAATCAAGGAGGGAGCCACTATACTGAGGGAGAAACTACAGAAATACAAACCGAAGATTGCAGCATTTAATGGAAAAGGTAACTTATCATAAAGGGAATAGATTTCTACTTATCATGTAGCAATCAGTTCATTTTTTTACTATGATTTTGGTAGAAATTTGATGCTAATTGGTCATTTTAAAGATTTCAAATCACAATAACCACCTCTGAAATACCTGATTTGACAGCTGAGTGATAACGAAGTAGCTGTGCTACAAGCCATGAATGCCTGTCGCATAAATTCGATATATGATTTCATCATGGTAGAATGAAGATCACTTACTGTCTTTGGCGGTTACCCGTGTGTGATAAATTTAACATTTGAAATCTCATGCTGCACATTTGCAGCCAAATTCAATTTAGTGCCATCAAATCTACAGGTAACAGCTTACATTGACAATACAGTATGTTTATCTCATCATCACATTAAGGTTTTTGATTATTTATGACCTTAGCATTGAAAACTGATTACTCAGCAGATAGTTGTAACCTTCTCAACTCTTTGTAATCAAGGTAAATGATTATCCACCCATGAAGATCTGGGTTAGAATAGGTCTTTAATTCATAATTGCTGTAAAAGGCGACGACTATGCTTGTCATAAGAGGTGACCAACGGGATGGATTGGTCAGGCTCACTGAATTGGTTGATGCATGTCTTTGTATCCCAATTGTGTGGATTGATGCTCATGATGTCAATCACTGGAATGTCTGGTCCAGACTTGCTTAATTTTGTCAGACTGCTGTCATATAGCTGGAATATTGCTGAGTGCGGGGTTAAACAACAAACAAACAAACATGATTATCATTTTGGGTATAGTTGGCCAAGACTGCCAACTTACCTTGACTTGTGCTGCCAAACTTTTCAAATCAGCAATGGTTTAAGGCCATCTTAAGAAAATATATCTACCTGGTTACAGATCCATCATGTCTGTTCTTTAGATTTAAGGAAGTGGATTTTAGTTTCAAACAACACTGTAACCGTGCAAGAAGTTAGGAAATATTTTACAAGCAATTTAAAAAAAAAAATGTCTATCCATTGCAAGAGGGACACCATTTAGCTATATAAAACATGCACCAGTGCAAGCTATTATTGAAAAGGGCAACACTAATATTAATGTCTACATGCACCATGTGAATGGCAAAAGAATTCAAATTTTTATCACACTAACTTTTCCACACAATGTTGATCTTTGAACATTCAATACCTCTATTTCTTGGGCTTTACGTCATCAAACTGGGGGTACTTAAGGATTATGTGCTCGTGGTCCTATTACATTTTACAGCAATATGTCATACATTTATGTAAAATCATGACTCAGTCATCAGAGATCTGCTCTCTTTTCAATATTTATACTACTTTATTTCGGTGTAGGGTCTAACCCCATTATCTAGCATGTGTGTCCCACTTGCTTGATAATGGTTTTAGAACCTACACCGAATCGTTGCTCCTAATTGTAATAAAGAAGCTGTTCATCCGTATATCTTATCCTTACTTAGTACTCCAACTTCTAAATGCCTCTCAAAAAGTTGATTTTTATGTCAACTCGCACCCGAGGCAAGTTAAGTCAAGTACCTTGAATCAAGCTCTGCTTTTGCATTGTTATGTTCATGAAAAGAAATCTGAACACAAATCAAGCAAAATTCTGGCCAAACTGAGCTTGATATGAACATGCACGGTAATCATGGTAGTATTGTGAGAAACTTTGAGGACTTTCATCACCTCTTGGGTGTTTTCCTGCAGGTATTTATGAGGTGTACTGTGGCCACAAGAACTTCATTCTGGGAAAACAACCCGAGCCGGTAGAAGGAACAAATACAGTAAGTATTGAGCAGGGTGTGAAGTCAGGACAGCCAGACGTGAAGTCGGACTGCTTGGCATACAGGGGCAGGGGCTCAACTATGTGTGCAATGACATGTAGCAAACGATTGGTCCTCATATAATAATGATACTAGTTGATCCATTCTGACAATGAAAGTAAGTAAGAATGTCCCAATAACTGTTTGAAAGCACACTTTGGTCATACTTGTGGCCTTGAAAAGTGTGCTCATTGCCACCAGTAGGCATGAAAAGCTCTATAACTGGTTGTCAACTTTTTCTAAGATCCTAGAACATTATGAAAATAACTTCTCTCACACAATAAGCTGACACGCTGTGATGTGACTTAAGATCCTGTTCATAACATGTTTAAGCTCAACTCCTCCTCTCAACCCTGTGGTAGACTTGTGATTATTAAAGTGATATGCAAGTATTTGTTATTCTGTATTTGAATTCCACTTATTGCACTGTTGAATATTTTCCCATAAAAATGTGACATTTAACTTATCCTACCTCTGTTGCTGTTAAACCGAGACGTAATACCCAACAGAGATCTCTCATCCACTTCCATAAATGAATTGTCCAAACATACCTTTCGCCACACATCACATGACCCAAATTGCACGCGGCATCCTTTTGTTGAGCAAATCAAGTACATTCCAAAGAAGGTCCTTGCAGGGAGAAAGCAAGTCCTGTCCAGAGAAGCTCTCACCCTTCCTTGTCCTTTGTACAGATATGGCTGTGTTATATTCATAATAAACAAACGTCTTATAAGTGATGATTTGCTTAGGGGGTGGGTGATGATGCCTAATTTTGTCATTTTGGGCACCTACAAGCAACAGAAAGCATTCTACTTCGGTCCCGAAGGGTTCAGGGCAGCAACCAGCCCTTTCGTGGGAAGGTAAACCCTTCAGTCTGGTGCAAGCAGATGTAAGTGCCCGCAGTCAAGCAGTGACCTTAAATGAAGCATGGCCCGCCAGCGACTGGGGACTCTCTCCCCCGGAATTGGCCTCTTTTTGGGAAGCCCTACGTAACCAACCCACTACATCATGGGTACAGGCTACATCTGCACACAGCACCTCCATTATAAACATCACCACTCCCCAGGGAGGGACTGCTTCACTCAATACACAACCTTGATGAAACAGTGGCACAAGGTCAAGGTACTTCTACCCCTGGCGTTCGCCACAGGACTTAACGCTTTGGGGTCGCACATTGTCCCTCCACTAGAGGCCTCGATGATGACAAATTTGAGTCTTTTTGTTGGCGCCATGACAAGTCCCCTGTGGATGATGTACTGCAGTTCATTGCCCACTTCCTAGTGTACTTGGGGCGGTCGGGTAGCCTAGTGGTTAAAGCGTTCGCTTGTCACGCCGAAGACCCGGGTTCGATTCCCGACATGGGTACAATGTGTGAAGCCCATTTGTGTTGTCCCCCGCCGTGATATTGCTGGAATATTGCTAAAAGCGGCGTAAAACATACTCACTCACTCACTCCTAGTGTACTTGCATCGGACACGTCATCTGAAGGGGAAGGGGAACTATCGCGATCACCTTCAGCTCAGTTTTAACTGTCCCTTGTGATAGGAAGTTTCATGTAACCCAGAACTCCAGCTTATGTTAAAGGCCTATTAGCTTGAAGACAACAAGCAGAAATTTTGTTCACCTGCTTTGGACCTTAACTTTGTACTATGTCACTTTCACCAGGCACCTTATGAAAACTTGGTGTCGGCACCACCAGAGTGTGTGTCAAGGATTTTTGACAGCACTTGCTACAACTTCATGTCTAGGTGAACTGCATGCCCCCGCCATTGGTCCAGTCTCATCATGGTGTTGTACATTTGAGCATCTGTTGGGACTTTATAGCCAAACTAAATTCCTGGTGAACAAATTCCTTGTTTTAGTGTCCAACCATTATCATCTCAACCTCACTCAAACTAAATCAACTCATATGAGGACGTACCTATTTATTTTGACTTCACTTTGCTGCTCGTCAGAAGTGTCTATAACAACTGTTACCATCTGTGAGGAGCGATTCTACCTCCACTTCAAACAAACAATCCCCTTAACATTAGAGCACTAGCATTGACGATGGTGCTTCATGGCAACTGCTCTGTCACTTCAATTAAGGATGTTTGGGGAAATCTGACACAAGCCACTTCGCAAGCCACTATCAAGCAAGACATGTCTTAGGGGATCTAAAAGGCATACACAGTTTGGCCATTGGTGGTAGCACGGCTATTGCAGACCTAAGACGTCTCCGCCGATAGTGTACTACCAGGCACTATCCTGTGCTATCTCCCAAACCTTGAATAGTGTTGACATTAACACTTGCACTCGAGTGGCAGTCGAGGTGAGGTGAAACGTCTCATGTTTACGATTTTGTCTAGTGGTAGAGCATCCGTCCGGGGAGCAGAAGGTCCAGGGTTCAATCCCTCTGCGTAATACCAAAATACGTTAAAAGATGGTACTTGTTGTTACCCTGTGTGGCGCATTAAGGGGCTTAAACAAGGCCTGGTCTGCTCGAAGTCAGTATACTGTGTCTTAGTTGGATGTTCATGTTAAACTGCAGCATCGTATCTCAGTGGGCTAGCACTATAAAATCGCCATTAGTCTTGACTAGAACAAGCAGCCCCAACAACCGCCCCAACACCCCCACACACGTGCAAGCATGTCGCTGTATATATACAATAATTTTGGACGCGATTTTAAACCCCATTTCACCTCAAATAACTTTGAAGGTTTGCCAACCATCCCATGGGAATAAATTTGAATTATGTGTAATGCAGGATCAGTTAAAAATTTATCAATATCTGATTATATATATATCATTCATTACAATCATCCCTACTCTCGCAAGGACCAAGAACCTTCTTTGGCATGTGCTTGATTCACTCAGCAAAAGGATGTCGTGTGCAGTCACGTGATGCCTGGTGGTAGGCATGTTTGTGCAATTTGTTTTGGTTCAACAGCACGAAATTAGATCATGTGTAATCATGGTAATGCAGGATAAGTATATAAATATCAAACCATAATGCTATGTCCATTGTTTTCAGATGGTATATGTAATGCCTTCGTCTAGTGCTCGGTGTGCTCAGCTGCCAAGAGCTGTTGACAAAGTCCCATTCTACCTGGCCTTGAAGAAGTTGAGGGACCACTGTCGAGGAGACCAACCGATCCTCGACGAATCTGAAGTCTGTTTCCCTAACCTGGAACTCAAGATCAAAACTGAGCCCAAAGTCGAACTTGATGCCGATGGCAATCCTATCAAAACTGAGCCAAAACCAAAAGCTGAACCAAAATCCAAATCCAAGAGCAAGAAAAGTAAAGCCCAAAGTCAATCCCAAACTAGTCAGTCCCAGAACATTCCAGTTCCAACTAGTCATGGCCAGATGGCTAATGGGATGTGGTCTGCCGTGAAGCAAGAAAAGCCATATGATCCGAGTGAGTATGGCGGACAGCCGTACGGCACTCCGATATCTGCTGCTTGTGCGGTTCCCATGTCCAATCAAATGATGCCAGTGTATCAGAATGCCCACATATACTCCCAGCCAAATGGGCAGAGTAGCGCACAGGGTCAAGTAACCATCCACAACGGCACAAAATCCACAAGTCAAGATGATATGGGAAGGACTTTGCCAAGCACAACAGCAGTTTTTTACCCAGCGTCAGCGCAGCCGATGTACCAAGGGCAGATGTACTCCCAGGGATCTTTCTTACAGCAGTTGCAGGAGCCCAACCTGACCAATGACAGGAACTCACAGACCTGGCAGTATCCCTCCTTCTCAGCCAATGAAATGCTGGATAACAGCTCAGCCAATAAGACGACAGAAGACAATGCTTCATCTCAGGTTGTCCACATCAAGACAGAACCTGAGGATTACGGCTACACTGAGATTCCTTTCAATAGCATGTAGCAGTTCATGTGACTCAGATATTGTCATCCTGTCATTGTGTACACTGATCGTACGAATATGTCTGTCAGTTCACGAGATGGCGTACAGCTCAGGGTGTGTTTCGCAAAAACCATCATCGTGCTACGACTGGCGTAACTAAAACTTTAAGGTGTAATGTCAGATTTCAAAGCCTGTTTTGTCATACCCCAACATCACTGGTGATTCATTGGAATTGATTTCTTTCCATACAATCATGGTGACTATGTAAAATACCTAGTAAAATATATACTAGCATGACAGCAAGGATTTATCTTGACCTGCCTATTTCAGTTTGCAGCGAATGTCATTAAAAAATTCCCAAATCGGAATTTATTTTGTGATATTGCATTGAATACTCTCTCAAATTTCAAAACACCTCTGAATTTAAGAAATTAAGGACTTTAAAGAAAATCCCAATTCTGAACAAAATAACAGTATTCCCCCGGGGCAATTTGACTGCCAGTTTAGAATTCTGGATTCCTGTTGAGAGTTTGTTTGAAAGTCCCGACACTGCCATAGGTGGCAAGTGTCCTTGAATGAAAGTTTGTAAACAGGAAACAATTGTGCTTATTTCTCAACTGGTTAATAAAATATGCAAAATATTAATAAACTATAGACATAGAAATCTGACGTTGCACCATTAAGCATAGATTTATGACAGATTGCTGAGGAAAGGGCCTTGATGTATTTACATAGATCTGTGACAGATTAGTTTTTACGTATATGCTCCTGTTAATAATCATGTTCCATGTCGTAATTGATCTCATCTGGTGGCATCACTGTCAAAAACGGTCAGTAGGGTACAACAGAGCAAACGATTATGACTGTAGCGTATGCATACTTTATGCCGAGGTAAGTCAAGGAAATATCAAGCAGTAATATTCATATATGATCGTCTGACTTGGTGTATTCAACTGAACCACCTGCAAGATGCCCCAAACATGTGTTTGAAATGTGTTGAAAGGACTGTAGGCTTTTCCCAAGTCAATGCCAATTGGAGGATTTGATCTGCGATTTGTACCAGTGCTGAACTGACCTCGTGGTATTTGTATTTTTTTCGACAGCGGTTTTGTAGTTACTGTGGTTACTGGGGTACGGAAAGAGCTAGATAATTTAGTTAGATTTGTTTGTGGACTCTTTAAGAACTCAAATGAAATTTGCATGAATGGATGGGGCTGACAGGTATATAGATTACAATGATTTGTTCTCAATACAATATATATAGATATATCATGTCACTACTTTGGATAAAGAATGTGTGAATGTCTTACATGCATGTTATTTTTAACAAACCAGTGTACAATTATATAGATGATCAAACCATATGATGTGGACTACAATAGTACATGAAAAAGACACAATGTCCGAGTATTTAAATGATTTGTTATGTGTCAATACAGAATGAAGTATAGTGAAACCTCATTAATCCAGACCCTGTTAAACTGGAAACCCTTCCCACTGGACGATTAATTTGGGAACACTACCACAAGTGAACAGTGATTAAAAATGGTATCCATGGTTGGTTAATATGAAAGCCGGATGGTTTCACTGGGAAAGCTGGTGTCTGGATTAACAGGGTGTCTCCGTATTTTGAGGATATGTTATACTTGCTGGAAAAAAACTGAGTATTCTTTTCACTTTCCCTACCCCTTATACATGTTCTATAAAACCGCTTTCTTCCAATGTGGGAGTTCACTGTCAGGGTAACAGGAATGCTTCTGTACATAACATCAATTTGAAGTCAGCAGTGTTATACTCAGAAGTTGACATGCTTTATGTGTGGAATTAGCAGTTCAAGGTCAACAAATTGAAGAACTGGCGGACATAGTTGTAACCATGAATACCATTTTTCATATCATGATTTGTGAATATGAATTGTTACTGACTGTGTGTTAATGGATGATATTCTCAAAGTTGTTTACTCTTTACCGGACACTGTATTAATGTTTGGTGAAAGCCAGCAATATGATCAAACCACTATGCCACAACAAATATCATCTCAGTGTCTTTTGAAAAGGATTTTGAAATTTTTTAGTCTTCACTTAGAACCAATCATTTTACCCTAAACCTGGTTTGACAATAATCGATAAGACAAGCCTTAAGTTTCGTTTGGTTCTATCCACTTTGATAATATCGTTTATTAATGACCTTGGAGATTGTGCTTACTTCTCTTGTAATGGCAATATGTTGAAAACCATTTATATTGGTCCATATTTCATACTCATGGTTCATTGCTTGAATATTTATAAACCATTGCATTTATATTTGCTCACACTGTTTCCATGGTCACCAGGGCCCGGTACATGATTTTAGTTCCAGGAATTTACTAATACAAACAAATATGATGAAATACTTATAATTTCTCATGATCTAAAGACAGGGAAAGGCAAATGGGCCCAGCGGTTTAAGGCACAACAATGTGCTGTGCAGAGTTGTGTCCCTTAGCAGTTACTGAATCCATTGGTTGTAGGTTCAGATACCATATATGTTTCATGATCTTTCAGAGCCATACTTCATTGATTAAACAAAAATGGTAAACGTCTAGGACCTGCCTCATTTTTGTTTCACCGTGTTTATCTCCACATTGATTTAACACACAATGACCTATTTGTACTACCATTCAAAGCACTGTTAGACCCTTCACTCACTCACTGTTGAAAGACGTTATTCCTTTGAAAGTTTCCTACTACATGTGTACCCTGGTAACCATGGTTCCAGAGATAAAGAGAGTGGACCGTATGCCATGTTTAAACCATGTAAACATTTCTTCATGTTTCTGTCTATATGGATGCTGTACATACATCACTAAATGAATTGTTCGGACACTGTTGTAACTTGATTGATATTGTATCAATTTTTTAGAGTGTAAAGTTCACTATGTCAGTTGATTTATTTTGATATGTGTTTTTGTTGTCTGATTTTATGATTTTGTTGACTTTTAGACTGAACTGTCTTTTTGAAGAAATGTTAGCAATCTTTATATTGGAATTGTACAACTGAGCTACAATTGTGTTTTAATCTTGGTGATTGATATCTGTTTGGTTAAGAAATGAACTGTAAAATATTTTACAGCATAATGAGCTATTTTATTGTTTTCGTATATTTAAGATCAGTTTACTGACTTAATCAAAATTAGAGTATGTTTTATAGAAAAAAATCAAGTTCAATGTTTAGCTACTAGTTGTTTTGTGAAGTAAAATACATATTTTTATTGAAGCATTTCACCTATTTTAAGTCCCATGGCATTATTATTTGATGTAAATTGTAGTTCAAGTCAAGATAGTAGTCACATGTATTAGAGTCACCAGAGTAATGTAGTAGATACAGCCTATTCCCTTCCTAATGACAAAATTAAAAAGAAGCAACTGAATTTTACTATTAGATTAAATGATGCTAAGGCACTGTGAAGTTTACTTAAAAATTCATTGGATGTGATTTTGATGCAAGTACAACTGGTGTTCAGTATGGACCATGTAAGAAGAGCACTTCAAGTTCCATTGTGGTGACCCATGCCCAGGTTTCTAAAATGTCCAAGTTTGTAACTTGTGGTTGTGAAGGGTGTGTGTAATGAAGGTTGGTGAAGTGAAACCTGAGAGCAAATCTAAGCCTATTAATGATGACCGGGTCAGTGTTTGGGATATCATTACTAGTTTACGACAAACATGATCTGTTGAGACATAGTTTCACGCCTTGCCCAATTCTCACATGTTCAAGTACTTATACATTGGTGCAAATTGTGAGTGATATCGGATATATTAATTTTGGGTTTGGTCCTTGAATGACTTGGTGCTGCAATTAATATTCCCAATAAATTAATTCAAATCCAAGCACACCATAGCAAGTAGTTGCCTTTAAACAATATTCCAATCCTAAGAAAAGCTAACCATATTTGGAAAACTTCCTTGAGAGGAAATAGGGATACAATTGTCTTAATCAAGCACTGTTACCAAGTATTGTTTATATGATAATTCCAAATGAAAACCTATTATTATTCATACTGTGATTTGAGCTGTGAACTTGATAGTGTATATAGTGCCTTCTTTGCCCCATAGAACTGAACAAGTGCGCTTGCTTATGTTTTGATGCAATCTCAAGACCTGCAAGTAGTCTCTCATTAAGCATTGACTCTTATGTTATAATGTTAGGCATGAAAAGAATCCCCCCCTCTATTTTTTCAGAATTAAAAAGAAACAATTAGATTTCATGAAATGAATCTTTAAAAATTCTTTTGAGGTCAAGATCTTGTTTCAGAAATATAGCTCTGTTTGATTCATTTTTGTTTTTTTGCCAATGTGTTTAGTCTTCCAAAGTTTTTGTGTCTTGCCAAAATTTTGGGTGACTGATTTTGTTAAGAATCAACCATGGCCAGTTCTAATCCTTAAAGATGAAATTTGTTGTACGTTTCAAGCATGTATAAGATCTGCACTCTGCTGTTTGAGTTGCATTTCGATCTGTCAAGGCTATAGTGATACCATGATAATGTGTTTCCAGTTCCTCTAATGAAATCATGTTGTGTATGACATTTCATACTTTTATACTGCAAATTGAAACAAGTGCAATACTTTTGAAATGCAACCAACTCATAATTTATCTGATGATAGTGGCACGCTTGGTTAGGAAAACTGCCATTATTATCAAGTTTGACATGTTTCAAATAGGGCTCATTCTGCAGAGGGGTTTTAGTGCTACAACATTGTAAGTCTATTTTAGAACATGGGAGACATGACAGTCGTAAGGATAAGATAGCTTTGTGGAACAGGGCCCCGTTCCTCAAAGCGATCTTAGCGCTAAGGTGATCGTAAGTCCCATACTTTAACTTAGGGTTACGATCATCGTAGCTCTAAGATCGCTTTGAGGAACGGGGCCCAATTCCATAAGATGATCATGGCTATGAGCTTTCTAAGTCCACCTTCTACAGCAGTGGTCACAATTAAGGGGGACCTGGGGTCCTTGAGATTTCCTCCTGTATTATTTGAATCTGGGGACCCCCTTTGCCCTTTACCATTAGGGCAATGGCAAGGACACCATGACTTTGGAATTTGGAACACTGTACAGTGTAGATCCACAAACAGCCGTGGCACACTAATCACTTTGTGGAATGGCCCAGATCTGTAACGGCCACCATGTCATGCAAGAGTTGTTTTTTTATGTATTTCACTGACAGTTTTAAATATGTATAATGTCTCATTGCCACTTTAAGCAGGTATGAATTGTAGGTCAATTTGGCTGTTCATGAGATTGTGTTACGCATTGAAGTATAAAAAGACATTTCTCATACATTCATATACAGTGGGACCTCTAGTAGCTCACAGTATCAACCAACAGTTTTTCTGGTCAAGTTACGATCACTTCAGGTCAAGGATTGATAATTTCTGTTCCAGGATTGATAACTTCAGGTCAAGGATTGACAACTTCAGGTCAAAGGCGACTACGCTTGTCATAAGAGGCGATAAAAGGGATCGGTTGGTCAGTCTTGCTGACTTGGTTGATGCATGTCATCGTATCTCAGTTGCGTAGATCAATACTCATGTCAATTAATGGATTGTCTGGTCCATACTTGAATATTTACAGACTGCCATCATATAGCTGGAATATTGCTGAGTGCAGTGTTATACATGAATCAAAAAAACAAACGATAAGCATTAAACTATTGTCATTTTCAACAAAATTAATTAATTGACTAGAAAATGGTTTATCATATTTTTTGAAAAACGCTATTGAACTGCTTGATGAAGAGGTTCCACTATAAACATGAATCAGTTGACTCCTAAGTTTCATCATATCAGTTCTGTCTTCATCTTGAAGATGAAGATAACACACCATATGTTGCTTTGTACAATATGCAGTAATTTATTACATGACGTCATTGTTTCATGGTGCACCCTGAACAAGTCCTGAACAAACAGATTATTTGTGTGGCAGTTTAGCTGATGCTCTCTGCATAGCCCTCTAACATTATAGACATATAGGTTAGTGTTTTGCTGAATTTATGGTAGATGTCCTGTTTATGTTATTTGAAGATTTGAATGTGAATGTAGATTGATTGATATAATTACCGAGAGTCGGCCTGTGTTTCCTTATACTGACAGTTTAAAGTGTTTGTTGATATACAATGTTTAGCTTTACATATTAATGTGAACTAAATTATGTGAATCAGATATTGTACTGTACATGTATCACCCTTTTTATGGTGAACAAAATGAAATATAGTTTCATAGCATTTTACAAATGTTTTGTTGTTTTGTGGTTATGGATGTCCACTGGTCTCATGTTCGTTCGTTCGTTGTTGAATGCTGCACTCAGCAATATTACAGCTATATGACCGTGGTCTGTAAAAAAATCGAGTCTGGACCAGACAATCCAGTGATTGACATTGGTCTGAAGTAAGAGTATTAACTTTTCTACAAAAGGTACTTCTAAAATCTTAGTTAATCCAACTGTCTAGGTACACTTGTAAACTACCACACCAAATTGACACTTTCCTATAGTCAGGCATAGGAGATCACTCAGGGTGGAAACAGTTTTGCATGAAAGTATGATTAATGGTATTTAACAACCGAATAACAGGGTCATCTATAAGAAAACGTAATTTCTCCATGTTAAGCAAATCTTAAAGAAATGTGCATTTCCCCCTCAATTTATTAGGTGCAGCAATATTTCATTGATTTCATACAGTGCAATGACCTCACAGCAAGGTAAACAATACAGTGACCTCATAGTTTAAAGAACAACACTACTCATTTTTGCTAAGATAATTGTATGACATGTAGTAAAATAGACCTAAATGGTACGAATTGGTCCCAAGCAACTGCAGGTTGCACGAAGTTGCATGGAACGGTTGGTCAGGCTCATTGACTTGGTTAAGGATGTCATCATACCCTAAACGTGTAGACAGTTGTTCATAATATCAATCACGGAATTGTCTGGTCCAGACATGATAAATTACAGGCTGCTGGAATATTGTTGTGTGTGCGTTAACAAACACATCCTGGAGGAAGGATCCAATCAGCTTAGGTTTGAATGCAAGAAGCAATAGATTATCATCCTTGGTTTGCTTGCACCAGGCCTAGGCTCTCTTCACCTAACATGTCCATGACCATTGTCACGATGGGTATTTCTACCTCACAATAACATGCCATGATAATACAGAACAACTGTTCAAAGCCATCTTAAAAACAGCTCCCTCACTGACTCATGACATTGCTGACATTTTGAATACCCAGAAAAGACCTCAGGTACAACGAAGCACTTTATTTTCAGGAGCAGAAACAATGGACTGCACAGAGTGAGTTAATGCCAACTTGACAGTATTGAGAATTGTTTTCATCCCAAAATGAAAGGTCATTCAAATAATTATGCAGCCAGTCCGTATTCCATTAATATGAAGACACCGCCTCACACCCATAGAAGCGCACATACAATCACTATCCACAGGCCCAAAATTTACGACACTCCCAACAAAATCTGCCGCCTCTAAGTGACCCTGGTGTTATTTGTATGCCATTATCAAAAATTACAATTTTCACAATCGAATTAATTTTGAAAAACACAGTCGAATATATTGACAATCGGAAGTGTAGACTAGACCTCTCACACGCGTAAGGGAAGATGCCGAGTAGAACTATAACCATTACTTTGCACTGATACACAGAAAACATGATCGTATTTTATTAACCTTCATATTCTATACCTCAGTCTGAGAGTTGGTCCTTATCTACTTATATATGAACACTTGAATTCATCCACGACCTCGGCTGACACTACAACTGCCTTTCTACGGTAACTGGGGTATCATTGGGTGTGGACAGCACCCGCAACTCATTCTTACACGTCACCATGAATGCGAAGGTTATACTTGGAACATTCTGACCAGCAAAATACACCCCTATATCTACTGACCACATTCTTCTCAGGGAACGTCCAGCATTACATGGCTTTCTCAGAATGGAGCCCACGTGACCACGGACAGTTGTAGTGTGTAACCCATGTTCAGGCACCTTGGTCGTCTAGGCCAACGCTATATCCTACATTACAGTAAATCGAAGTGACCATTGCAAATATATCGAGTCAACTCTTGTCGATTTTACATTATAGTGCCGAAAACAATTCTCCCGGTTATGAGAGATGTGTCGTATTAAACCATGGAGGGAATCGAACCGGGGCCTTAGGCGTGACGAGCGGACGCTTTAACCACTAGACTACCCCACCGCCCCCCATGAAGATCGACATAACAAGATTTCACTGATATTCCAGCTTGTGTTTAAATCCAACCCTTGACTCCTAAATGGAGATATCTTGTTCATTATGTGCCAATAAACCCAAAGATTACGTATTACCTACACGCATTGTGCGTTTACGAACAGAGGCAAAGCTTGAGACTAAGTCTTGTTTGTGAAATAGGATGGACAATATATGTAATATATTATTGTCGCATACAAATATACAAAATACAATGTACTTGTTTCAACTTAATACTTCATGCTGATATCAAACTTGTCCAATACAAATGATGCATCAGAGTGAGTGTGTGAGGCGGGTTTAACGCCGCCTTGTTAACAGTATTCCAGTTATATCACAGCGTGTCAGCTTAATGTGGGAGGAAAACCCGATGTGATGCAGGTCACAGACGTTTACCACTTCCGTTAAACCCACGAGCACGGGTATAGAGCTGACAAACCTAGAAACTCAATCGGGGCGAACCGGGATTCGAACCCACAATCATAGGTTTCTGGCGTGTCCAAGGGACGCAACTCTGCAGCGAATCGCGGCGCCTGAGACGACAGGGCCACTCGTGCCCCAATGATGCATTAGAATTGTCTTAAGTACAAAACGGATGATCTTCATTACCAAACGGGGAGGTGGGGTAGACTAGTGGTTAAAACGGTCGCTCGTCACGCCGAAGACCAGGGTTCGATACCCCACATGGGTAAAATGTGTAAAGCCGATTTCTGGCGTGCTCCGACTTAATATTGCTGGAATATTGCTAAAAGCGGCGTTAACACATACTCACTCACTCATTGCCAAAAGAAATTATATTGCCCCAAAAGTATATTTCAATGTTTATTTGTGTGTTGTTGGCACTTGGCAATATTCGAGTTATATGACGGGGGCTTGTAAATAATCGAGTCTGGACCAGACAATCCAGTGATTGATATTTTGGCAATGTTCCACGACGTCGGGGTCCGAGCCTAGTGGTTAAAGCGTTCGCTCGTCGCGCCGAAGACCCGGGTTCGAATCCCAACATGGGTACAATGTGTGAAGCCCATTTCTGGTGTCCCCCGCCGTGATATTGCTGGAATATTGCTTAAAGCGGCGTTAAACCATACTCACTCACTCACATGGAGTACTGCGGGGACCAATTCTCAATTGGAATCCTTATGAAGAGTCCATTTCTTTACAGAACATTTCTATGAAACTTGCAATTCATACTTCCATTGTGAGCGACACGACCAGGAGAGAGTATTTACTAAATTGACTGAGCACTTCGTTGGATGAACAAATCTCAACCACAAGAGTATGGTAGTGCAATAAAGGGAAGTATGTTTTAGTGTTATAATTTATTAGCGAAATGAGCAATTGTTTTTAACGGAATCACGTACTCAGGAATCAGGATTATTAACACAACATGTTTTATGCTCGTTATGAATTGACTAGGAAACCCATGCATGATCATTATGAGGGAGTGGGTGAAACACATTTGAATACGCTAGGGAGGGAGGGCTTTATATGTCTACATGTGTAATTGTTTTTGTCGAGTTATGTTTGGATATGTATGATGGTGACAATGAATAAAGAATATACTTAACGATAAGTACTTATTTCATGTGTCTTACACAGATAATGGTTTTTGAACTTGAATTAGAAATGCGACAATGTTACGTTTTTAATTCACAATAACACTGTGAATTAAAGAAAATGGTAGGAGATATCTTGCAAGTTTTGGTCTCAAAGTAGGCTGTTGTTTCGAATATTGTTAATGTTCTATGTTGTATAACAGCACTTTGCATAAAGCCATAATGTAATTTTGGTACAGACCCGATCCCTTCCGTAGTACCGTGTTTTCCTTTAGGGCGTCGTTTACAAGCATTATTATCATGAACTAAGAGACCCCAATACCCCATAAGACATTTGGTTTATGAAAGGACACTCTACTTGAAAAGATGTAAGGTATAATAAATTTAATTAGTTTTGTTAATTAAAGCCGCACTCAGCAAGATTCCAGCTAGATGACGGCGGTCTGTAAATAATCTAGTCTGAACCAGACACTCGAGTGATTGACATCATGCGCATCGATCTACGCAATTTGGATACAATGACTAGAGTTTCCAGTGTATATGAATGTATGAGCAATGTCTTTTCATTCTTTAAGGTGTTACCCAATCTCATGAACAACCAATCAATTCACACCTACTTGAAGAAGCAATGAGACATTATACATATTTAAAACTGTTAGTATCAGAGATACATACAAATATATATAAAAAAACAACCAATTCTTTCATGACACGTTGGCCGTTAGTCGCCTCTTACAAGCATAGTCGCCTTTGAAAGGGTTTGCTTTGTTGTTTAACGCCGCAATCAGCAATATTCCAGCTATATGACGGCTGTCAGTAAATAAACGAGTCTGGACCAAACAATCCAGTGATTGACATCATGAGCATCGAACCACGCAGTTGGGAAGACCCATTCTATCCCGGACGGGTTTCACATACTGTGTTTGAAGGATGCACATATTTGTATCGACATGTCGAAGTAGTTTATGAGCTGATAAAGATTTGTTACAGCAATGCAGTAAACATTACACTGTACTGAAACGTAGCTAGATCGGCTATAGGTCCAAAACACTGACGATTTATTCATTCGCATGTCTGCACATTTCGCTTAAGGGGAGGTAACTACAGCAGGCTGCCAATGACGCTTGAGACAATAACTAGTCAAATGAGTAAACTGATTAAATATTTAACATATTACTTCATATTTTCAGGATACCCGTTACGCCGTGCGACATATATCAATACTGTAGGCACCATTGTGATGAATCGAACCCGGGTTTTGGGGTGACGAATGAATATTTAACCACGAGGCTATCACCCACCATAATTAGTGATTACTAGTAATTAACTTACTATAATCAATCCTTACATGTCGTGATAGTGTTTGTCCGTTTTATACGACATCATGGCAATGTAATAAAGTTGATGAATGAATGCTTCTGGTCATCGAAACAGTTTATTTTGCCGTTCCTCGGGTCCCAAGTTCTGTTATAAGGACTGGGACGAGACCCCCCCGCCCCCCCCCCCCCCCCCCCCCCCCCCACACACACACCCACCCACATATAATCTCCCATGTTTAGAAGCCGTGTTCCACTATCAAAGGGATGATCATTTGAATGAATAATAGTTCGATATCTCATGAGCATGCAGTCAGAAAATAGCATACAGTTCATTTCCATATCATGTGTCATTTCTTCCACATGTAACTTAGTACACATGTATTACTTAGTATTGATATTGACATGGTACACGGTAATCGAATTGTGTATCTCGATACACCGATACTTCTTTGAATGATTACAACCATAACATACTGCTGAAAGGGGCTTTAAACCCATATTCACTCTGCCACTACCAACAAAAGAGTACAAATTTCGAATTTATGAATACACAATACATAACATAGCCACAAACAGGTTGTTTCATAACATTATCGGATGAACTTACCTTTAATATTGTTATTTTCAACGTTCTTTAAACTAGGACAGCAGCGCGAGCAAAGATATAAAGAGCGTTACTTCGAGGATGGCCTTCATAGTTGACATTAACTGCCTCTTTATCCTTAAGCACCTTCATTATAGCGTGTATGGAGATCAGAAATGTCAATAATTAGAGTCAAAGCTAATTTTCATTTCGATTTAAATAAATTCTTACCACCTTAAATTGAATTAAATGGACCTTCGCCGGTTCAATTGTTGAATATATTTGTGACGTCTGCTTCCATCCATCGGGTCTGGAATAAACGCGCACGGAAAACTCGTGCAGCGGAAGTGAATTGTGATTGGTTAAAACGCGTCATCACGACACCACGTGACATTACTGGCGCCCACCTGCGTGAAATGTACAAGACTTCAAACCGGATTTGACATTTGTTTATGTAAATATTAACAACGACGATAAACAGCCTTCAGAGGTCAAAATGTTATATGTTATAGTGCCTTATATATATATATATATATATATCAATACCAACCTTTAATGACTGTCATAAACATTTTCTACTTGCAAATAATGACTAGTTATACATACGTAGAATTTTAATCGGCTGAAAAATACTGCACACATCTGCATTTTGACTTGTACAATGTGATCCCGTGTTTTTTCAATGAACATTTGACTTGCCTTTGCATGTGTTTGTGACGGGTTGCACTAGCTCTGCTTATCTTGTTCTTTTACATTGTATCCAGAATCATTTTGCTTTCTTTTGAAAGGAGTGTTACCTTATTGAAACATGTATGGCCCAGTCTTTAAATAGGAGTCGCAATTCACGGTTCAGAGTTGCGCCCCATGGGGTGTCAGAGGTCAGATGATCATAGGTTCAAATACAAGATTCACCTGCATGGTTATGAAGCTTGGTTTGTCAGTATAATACCCGTGTGCTCGTTGGCTTCATCAAAGTGGCAAACGTCTGAGATTTGCATCACTTTACCTACCAAATGTCTAGCATCAAAGATAATAAGGGAAAAGAGCCCATAGATCTGATCACACGTCAGGAACATCTGCTTTTTTATGTACTGACCAACCCCCAGAGGTGGTATGATATGATTCCAAGTGCTAGCACCCATCTTTCTACTGGAAAGAATCATACATTTCATTGGCCGAATTTGAAGGTCAAGGTAACTGGAGCGTCCCTTTGTTAAAGTTGTCTTACTTGTCAGATGTGCTTTCCAAAACCGCAAGTAATAAAAATCGAAGTTCATATAACATTTGTGTTAATATTATTAAAGTCATTGGACTTTCTGGTATAAAGTTGTCATGCGTTAGACATGTATTATCTAAAACCGCGCGTGATATCAAATAAAAAAGTATATAACTGTCTTGTTAATATTATTAGGGACATGGGGAATTTCTGGTTTAAAATTTTCTTTTAGCAATGTGTGAAGTAAAAAACCGGAGTCCACTTAACTTTCTTATTAATGTTGTTACAGGTATTGGTCTTTCTGGTTAAGTCTATCTTGCATTTGACAGGCGTTTTCCCAAATTGGAAGGGATGTCATTAAACCAATAAAGGTTATAACTTAGGTAGGTAAAGGGATAGGACATTCTCGTTAAAGTTGTACGCATTGGCCAGAAATGATGTCATCAGCCTTACAGAGTTGTCATTATGGTGGAAATGCCTTGCAGATTCTTCTTTATGTTACCTAGAGGTAAGGGGCGGTCGGGTAGCCTAGTGGTTCGCTCGTCACGCCTAAGATTCGGGTTCGATTCCCTACATGGGTACAATGTGTGAAGCCGATTTCTGGTGTCCCTCGCCGTGATATTGCTGGAATATTGTTAAAAGCGGCGTAAAACCATACCCACTCACACACTAACTCACCTAGAGGTAAGTGTCTTCAATCTGTGATGAGTTTGGAGAAGGCATGTTTTATCACTTTTCTAGTTTGACACACATTTTTTAATTATCATCCGTTTTAATATTGATTGAAATTATGCCCAATTGTTCATTTTTAAATATGTTAACATATTCAAAATAGAAGATATTTATTTCACTAAGAGTACATGTGTGGCATGTTCTTTCCCCATAGAGTGGCCGGGTCATTGAAGAACTTCAGGAAGTCGTCTGCTGCGGGATGTCCCTTATATGGCGTGTAAAGATTCCCACACTTCCGGTCGCCCGAACACCTGTTAATCCACGTTGATAGATAGGCAATTCCTAGAGCAGTCTTACTCTCCTTCATTGGCTTGAGGACCAGGTCCATCCACAAGTTGGGATGAGTATCCACTGTGGGGTTATTAGATCCGAACTCAGTCACTGCCGCTATCTTATTCCTCCTCTTGGCCACATCAACAATGGACTCGATTTTAGCGATGAGGTCTGTGGGGTTTCTTGAAGACGAACCGCTGTAGTAGTAGTCTTGTCCCACCACGTCGACGTAGTCGTCCCCAGGGTAGGTGAGCATGTATTCATGGTTATCCTTCACCCAGCCGGGACTGTAGGCGTAGAGGAAGTTGTGGACGTGTTTGATGTCACGGAGGTAGTGGACAAGGAACTGCCAGAGTTTCTTATACTCGTCCGGGGTGTTGTGAGCAGCATTCCCCATGCCCCAAAAGAACCATCTTCCGTTCATCTCATGGTAGGGACGGAATATTACGGGGATATGCTTACCCTGGGGATCTTTGAAGTTTAGTGCCCATTCTGCGATTTGGTCCAGACTCTTTGTCAGGTTGACGTGGTTGGGTCCACCAGGGAGAGATTTTTGGATGCTGTGGGCCACGTCCCCGTGGTCGTCGGCAATGTAGAACGGCCCTCCTGTAACAGGGTTGCTGTGGTGCCATGAAAACGTGATAACTTCTCCTCGAGCGTAGGCCTTGTGGGCGAGATACGTCACGGTGTCAATGTAAGAAGGTGTCAGATCCCGGAAGTCCATACCCATGATGCCCGGATGTTGGTTCGTGATTGAGCAGACGTCACAAAGGTCATCGCTATCCATATGATGTGCCTGTTTACTCTGGAAAAAATATGGAATGAATCACAATTTCGTTTCAATGAATAAAGACAATTAATAACATTTGTCATCCCAAGCGATATCTCCTCTGGGAGCAGATTGTGGACGCAGATTATCGCTTGGGTGACATCACAAATTGCATCACAATGCTTTGCAGACGTCAATGGTTACCATGACGTCACAATCAAATGACATATCTAAAGGCTCTGCAACTGAAACTGTTATCAGTACTTTTTATACCGAAGACACTGCTTATTACTGCCTACAAACTGCAAAAGTTAAAGGATGACGTTGGATGATAAATAAAATCTCACCCTCGTGTCTTTTGATATGAAATATATCAACATTCGCAGATAAAACCTTTATCTGCGAATGTTGATTTATTTCATATCAAAAGACACGAGGGTGAGATTCTCTATTTATTGGCACAAACAAACTATATAACTCTCTCCGTATAATAACAATTATGTTTATCAATTTTAATGATAATTCTGATTGTGTTGAAATGTTAACTCAATCGTCACCACTCGCGTCTGTCCGTCAGACTTCGCTCTTTCCGGAATGAAACGAGCGATCATGAAAATCGCCAACTCACGGTGAACGCCCATCCTTTGGTATTTCCGTTCTGGTAGACTTGGTAAGGAGAGTGCCCGCCATATTCTCCCCACTGTGTGGATCCTTGCATCCCAAACACGAACTTGCTGTCGTCACGTGACAGCTTCAGTAGATTGCTGTACAAGTTCTTCGTCTCCAAGGTAGCGCGTTGATCGATCGGAAGTCCATAGCAGCCATATTGGATCGCAGTCAAAATAAGAAACCCCTTAGAAAGAGGCACCATGTTGGTTTAAATTATCGTTTTTGGGTACGCCACAATATAGTCAAGTCTGCTGAATATATGCTTGAAGCTTGACCCAGACAACAGGTAAGATTATCTGAGATTACAAGGACGACAGCTGTTGTTTGCGCTGATTAGGTCCAAGCAAACTGTGCCTGATTATAAGATAATGAAATAATTAGGGTTTCTTTATTGTGCAGGTTTCTAAGATTGTATTTAGTGGATAGTGTCTGCTGACACATACGAATACAAACTTGGAAAAAGATAAAGGACCACCACTTCTATAAATTCATTTATCCTGAACTTACATGCGTGTTTTGAAAAGGGTGTCAGGCCTATCCCACCCTCTCTCTCTAGGCATCCGGTATTTCTTTTGGCATTCCCCGTGAAGATCCGGGGTCGAATAGGGCTTCACCAATCCATGCTTGCCGTAAAAGGCGAATATGCTTGTCGTAAGAGGCGACTAACGGGAAGTGGTGGTCAAGCTCGCTGACTGGGATGATACATGTTATCGTATCAGAATTACGTAGATCAATGCTTAAATATCAATCACTGCATTGTCTGGTCCAGACTCGATTATTTACAGACTGCCGTCATATAGCTGGAATATTGCTGGTCTTCGCTGGTCCTCTCTGTAAGTAAACAATTGCTGGGCACTCAAAGTAAAACAACTTCTTTATTTATTTGGCTTTGTCCATATTTGGGATAGTCAAGGCATAAATCATATTGGTTTTATTGATAACTCTAAAATAAGATGTATTGAAATAGATAACCAACAGTGGTCTAGCAGTTTAAGAAAGTACTCAAAACTTTCTTTCTCTTCTTGTATTAAGCAATATAATGTATTTGAAAATTATCTAGATTACATTTGAGTAAGTGCCTATCGTATTGCTTTGAGTAAATTAAGATGTTCTGGTCATACTTTGCTAAATGGAAGGATGTACAATATACCGAGAGCTAAGTGACTATGTCCATTTTGTGTAAGACCTGAAGTGGAAGCTGAATATCAATTTTGTTTATAATGTCCATATTATGACAGTTTGAGACGTAATGTTCTATCTTATTATTTTTACACAAATGTAACTTTTGATAAATTTGTAACACTCTGTACATCTAAAACCCCATGCATAATTAATAACTTTCTCATGGCGCTGAAACTGTCTGACTTTAGACTTAGAATGAGCGTGAAGCAAATATTAAACCGTTGCACATCACATCATTTCCAACAGTACATAATTTATTCACACCCATTCATACTATGTGCGTTCGATTCTGAAACTTTGAGTGACCTGAGGCAACCTACGTTACTACATTTCTGGCAACCAGAAATACAACAATAAGTAGTTCTTGACAAAACTGTATCTTTTCTATTGAATGCACACAAAACGACAAGAAAAGGCAAAACCATCAACAAAGTTGCATCATTTATTCATATTCATATCAACAATCGAAAGTTAAATGTCTCTGACGCATTTCAGAATACACATATGCAATTAGCACCTATATTTAATTATAATAATTAAAATCCTTTAATTCATGATCGAATGAATAAACAAAATTAATTTTCTTTACGTCACTTGGAGGCTGTTAACGGGAGTTATGGTATGGGCAACCTAGGTCAACCGAAGAAAGACGTAATTCAGTTGACATGAGTTCATCTCGGTCGTTCAGGGTTTTCAAATCGAACGCAAGCCACTATTTCTGCAAAAGTCACAGAAGCGTGCGTAAAATGTCCTTCACGAAGTGCCTGTAACGACAAAAAGACTTCTGATGATTGTGTCGAAATATCTCACATAAATTCATAAATATTCGGAATTCAAGGCGGTCACCACTCCCCGGGCTGGCTAAATATACAGCACCCTGGCAATCTCGATCTCCACCCCCGGGCCAGTTAGATATACACTGGACTAGTGCCCTGACTATCTCGATCTCTACCCCCGGGATGGCTAGATATACACTACCTCACCCACCACCACTACACAGACCACCACCTCCACTACAGCAACCACTTCACGTACCACCACAACACTAATCGGGGGCACGGGTGGCCCAGTCGTCTAAGGCGCCACAATTCTCTGTGCAGAGTTGCGTCCATTGGTCACACAAGAAACATATGATCGTGGGTTCGAATCCCGGTTCGCTTTAATTATGTATATATGTTTGTCAGCATCATGTCAGCTTCACCAAACATTCGTGACCAACTCGTGTTATTCCGGGACAAGCCGATTAGCGACTCGTGCCCCTCTCATGGGCATTTTTGCGACCGGGCTCCGTCTTAGCGCAAACAGGCATACCTAAAACAATTGTCAACTCGTTGCGTAATGGTTCACACATCTTTACCCATATATAATATATATTCAGATGCAATTTAAAACACAGCTGGACATGCGGAATTATACAGTATGGTTGAACACATTTAACTGTGTCTTGGGTATATTTTTAGATGCAAGACATATGTAAAATCAAAAATTATTTCTGAGGGATTCTTTGACGAAGAACTCGAAATCATACGCGCATTCTGATTGGTTTGTCGTATTTTCGCACATAACATTCATCGATAGGGGGACGAGTCTTCTTGCAGATTACGGAAAGGGGCGAGTGGTGACGAATGCTTCACCAAAGTGGTAAATGTCTGAGGCCCGCATCACATCGGGCTGTCCTCCCACGTTGAGCTGACACGCCTTGATATTACTGGTAAGATGTTTAAAGCGGCGTTCAACTCAACTCACTCACTGATTATTTCAAATTATTCAAGTGTCATTTTCATGACCCAATGTTATTTATAAATGTTATAAATAAAATTACTTAAGAAGTTATATATTAGAAAATGTTTACTAAAGAAGTAATACATGTATATTGGAAACAATACGAGATGATATTCATAATTTGCTATAATCATATTATTACCTCTATAATATCCGCTTATTATCGTCCTTGGAGTGTCATTCTTTATAGACTGCTCGTGGATTTTTTCGTGTGTTTTTTGCCTTATCCCTCACTGACAGGCCCAAATATGCTGTAAATCGAAATTTCTTATTTGTTAATTTCTGGACGTTTCGAGTTTTTTTTCTCGTTACTTCGATTATATTTTCGTAATTTCAATTATTTTCTCGTTACTTCGACTATCTCTCATTACTGCGATTTTTTTCACTCTCGTTACCTCAGTTATTTACTCGTTATTTCAATTATTTTCTCCATGCTTCTAGTATTTTCTCGTTATTTCGAAATGTCGAAATTTCGAGTTTTTTAATTTTAATCGAAATTACGGGAAAACAATCGAAGCAACGAAAAAAATAATCGGAATTCCGAGTTTTTATGATAAACTTGAATCGAGAACATATTTGAAGTAAAAGAAACAACTCGTTATTCCGAGAAAATAATTGAAAAAAACAACCGAGAAAATAATCGAAGTATCGAGAAAGAACTCGAAATTTCGAGAAGATAATTGAAATAACGAGAAATTTCTATTTTAAAAAGTCAATTTATGCTACCAAAGTGGCACCTTAGGTATAATATAACTGAAATGCTGTTGAAAGCGGAATTAAACTAGCTCACTCACTCACTGTCATGGTATGATCAAGTTTGTTTGTGTTTAACTGTGAAACCATATATATGATACTTATATGGCACAATAATTTAAACGTGAGGGTTAAAATACAAAAGAGGAACATTGTTTGTACCATGTGTACCAGTTCAGTTTGTAAAGAAATCATCTCAGTCATGTCAACCAATAAAAAGAAAAGAGATACAGTAAACTACGGTTATAACGAACTCGAGGGGACAACTTTTTTTGTTCGTAATAACCGTAGTTCGTTATAAGCAAACATACAACATATATACAACGAATGGTCGGGACTAAAAACAAATTTCGTTATATAGGTCAGTTCGTTATAAGCGTGTTCGTTATAAACGTAGTTTACTGTACACACAAACTCACTTTCATGTGCCACGCGCAGTAGTGTAGGACAACAAAAACTTAGTTTCAAGAAAAAAAATTGGTGTTACAGTAATGTTTAAAATACCTAAACTAAAATAACTAAAGCATAAAATTTCATAGATTTCAAAATACACTACTTTAAAGAAGTTAAAGAACACCCAATTTGTCATATGACCATAGTTAATCTGTCATGTCATCACAGATTAACTATAGCCATATGAAAAAGTCGGTGTTCTTTAACTTCTTTTGAGTAGTTGATGGTAACACCTTTGTATCAGGGGCCTGGAAAGACAAGAAAAAACCTCAACTACATAATTGATTGTAACTGAATTGAGACTACTTTTAGTAGTGAATAAAACGGGAACTATCTGCATGACTGCAGGTTTTAAAGGCTAATAAACCCTAAGGCAGGCGAATCAGTAATTTCTGATACAGACCCTGACACAACTATCCGAAAACTCCAAAGAAAGTTAAAATATAATCAACAACAAAAGTTCCTGTGACACCAATATTTTAGTGTATTTTTCAAACAAGTAAAGTTTGGTTTTCAATATTGTAGTACATGTATGGGATCAAGTCACAAAAACGCAACTGCTACAGAAAAGCATGCAAAAGTTGACTTTTATGCAAGCCCCATGCATTTCACTACCCAAGAATGGGTATAAAAACATGTGCTTTAAAGGGGAAGTGTACACACAAAAATCACTTTCTTTCTTTTTCTAAACAAAACGCAATTTTAGAATTAGTTAGTATCTGTGTTTGAAAATATACACTCATTTTTTTCACAGTGAAAGTAGGAAGCTCACAATAGTGTGAAAATGATATGCCGTCATGAGGCCTTCGTTTTTCGAGCTAAACAGGCCTGAGTTATCCCCCTTAGATTATGACGTAATTGGTGCCAATTCAACTTGGTCCCTGTCTATTCTGAACGCAAAAGATATCAAGTACAAGTTTTCGGTAAAACAACATGGCCTACGACACACTCCGGCGCAGTGGTGACTCAGCATAACACTATGCTGGCTGGCATCTGAGACGCTAGAATCATACACCTGTACCTACACCACGTGAAGCGGCTCTAACAAAGCATGATGACGTCATAATGTTTATCAATTGGCACCAATGACGTCATATTGCAAGGGGCATAAGCCATGGTGTTTTTGTTATGGAAATAGAACACTTGGTAAATGTGAAAAATATAAATCGTTTTAATGCAAAACATATGTTAATTAATTGTAATATTTTTATATTTTTGTCTATGACACTTCTAGGTTAACACTTTTATTGTGGAAAAAGTACAAGAAAATTAGGTTCATTTTCGTGTGAACTTGCCCTTTAACGGGATTCCATATGCATTGTTTAGCATCGTGCTGACAACAACCACTGAGAAAAACAACAAAATTACACCATTATTCAACATTACGAAATGCCATGCCTGTCCGAAAATAAGCGTCTGCGAGCCATTGGTATGCTTGAAGCAGGATCGAGTCTACGTGATGTTGCAAGACAATTTAACGTCCACAGAAACACAATTTGGTGTTTATGGCAACGTTGGCAACGGACGAATGCAGTCAGAAACCATCCTCGGAGTGGCAGGCCACGCGTAACCAATAATCGACAAGACAACTGGATTCGAACAACACACCTACGAAATCGATTCCAGCCAGCAACAGTGACTGCAAGAAGCATCCCTGGCCTTCGACGAATGTCTTCACAAACCGTACGTCGTCGCCTCAGATGTGCAGGGATTGTCGCCAGAAGACCCGCCAGACGTCCCATTTTGACAGGAAACCACCGTCAGGCACGTCTACAGTGGTACAGCGTCTACGCTGGGCGGCCATGCAGTTCTATTCACTGACGAGTCTCGTTTTCACCTCAGCCACAGTGATAGACGGATTCGAGTGTACCGACGTCGAGGTGAACGTCAATCATTATGGCATGGAAAAGGATCGGTTCGGGAGCGGCAGCGTTATGGTATAGGGTGGGATTACAGCAAGACAGAGGACCCGTTTGATAGTGGTAGAGGGAAATCTCAATGGACAGCGCTACCGCGACGAGATCTTCGGCCCTGTTGTTCTACCGTTTTTGCGTCGTCATGGCCCAGGCATTTCCTTTCAACATGACAACGCCCGGCCTGATATTGCTCGACTTGTTCAGGATTCTCTTCAACAAAACAACGTGAATGTCAACCCCTGGCCGGCTCTCTCCCCTGATCTCTCACCAATCGAGCAAGTGTGGGATGAGATGGATCGGCGCCTTCGACGTCAACCACGTGTTCCACAGACACTCCAGGAACTTCTTAACATGCTCCCGCAGATGTGGACAGATATCCCACAGGACTTTGCGCGACGCCTGGTCCATTCCATGAGGCGAAGATGTGTTGCTTGCATCGCAACCAGAGGTGGACACACACGCTATTGATTTGTAAATTGACATTTTGGCATGTTCATGTTTTTTTAAAATGAAATCACGCATTTTCTGAAGTAAGTATGGCAAATTAAAGTATTTGAACACTTACAGGAATCTTTTATCTGTTGCAAACCGAAATTGTTTCAGATTTGGTAAAAAACATAACTTTGCATTAAATCTTATTCAATGTCACAGGTACTTTTGTTGTTCAGTATACTTTGCAAGTCTAGATTTCTCAGTTTCTTTTAGAAGAGATTGTTGCCATTATAATGTTTAATAAAAGACAATGTGATCAACAGTGTATGACAGCGACCGACGGACAGATGAAAGTGCTTGCAAACTAATGTCTCAGTAAATGATGTCAACAGTACTCAAATCTAACATTCTAGGAGTAACATCGTGTTCATCAATAATATAGATTACTAGGGTTGTGTGTGCTGGGATTTTGTAAGGAGTCTGGATATTTCTTCAGCTGCAGCTGCACAACCAGATATTCTTTTCAAATTAAAACTATGAGCCTAAATAGGTTTTGGAAAACACATCTTGCAACAATGTAGTTTTATTGGCAGGCACCTTTTTTTTTAACAATCTGAAGCATATTTATTCTTTTGAGACAACGTCAACTTTAAAGGACAATGGGCAGGAGTTGCCCAATCTTCTGAGGCGCCGAAATTTCCTGTGCACAGTTGCGTCGCTTATTAGGGGTACCGGAAGTACTGTTCAACATGACGTAAAACCCAGCTTACCCCCTTACTCAAGGCCAACGCAGATTTGTCTTATCGATCCTGTTAATGGAATTTGAGAGCTGATTTGTCCAAGCTGACCCGACAAAACGTGACCAATCAATGTCTCTGTCGAAGGGTAGACAAATATACAAGGTCTTTAAGTTTTACGTTCCTGTTCACAAAGCCATCTCTGGGCTCTGAATAGATCACCTGCTTTAAACGCAACATTCTAATTACATTGGAGATTAATTCCGATCACGACGGACAAGTAAATCGTTCTAAATGAGACAGAAGCTGTTTGCAAAGTCTGATCATGAAGCACCTTGAAATGGATCGATATAATTTGTCGTGATTAAATGATGCAATTGTGCTATAATAAGATACATGCGTGTCTATTCGCATGACGTCTCTGGAAGGAAAATGGCTTTTTGGTTGCAGTCACCGTGTCTTTTGTGCAGAAGAAAGTCAGTCTGCTTGTATGGTGAGATGAAGGCGGGGTATGTATGTGTAGTGTGCAGAAGGGTCATACTTCATACTTGAAGCGCATCTACAAATTATGAAGCTGCACGATGCAATAGAATAACCCTTTAGGTGAGATGAAATGGCTTTTTACCATCACGTCCAGGAGTATTGCACTTATATATAACACCGTGCATGCACGAGTGTGTGTGTGGCTGCTTGTACTAGTCCGGACTGATGCCGATTTTATAGTGCTAGCCTACTGAGATACCATGCCGCAGTTTAACATAAATACCCCACTCAGGCACAGTATACTGACTCCGAGCCGAGCTGTTTTAGCCCCTTAATGCCGAGTGGCAGACAGGGTAACAACAAGTACCATCTTTAAACGTCTTTTGGTATGACGCGACCGGGACTGAACCCCGGATCTTCCGTTCTCCGGGCCGACGCTCTCCCACTAGACCACGGAGGCGTAAAACACAATCTTTTCAAATCTGAACCGCAAGGGGTAATAGCTAACGAGAAAAGTTTAAAAATCTTAATATTTTTTAACAACTTTCACAACTACTTTCAAAGTTTTCCATATAGTACATTGCCTATTTGAATCAGCGTCGGACAATCATCCTGCAGACGGATAAACTGTAAGAAAAATCTAAAACAACATTTATCCAACACACGCTCTTTGAAACGGACGTAAAATATATCTTGCTGGCTTACAAATACTTTAAAAGGCGATCTTTGAAGACATCGTGGCTTATCAGCGCCTCGGAAGCTTAGTGGCCGACTCACAAGCATTCGTCACCACTCCCCCTTTTCCGTAACCTGCAAGAAGACTCGTCCCCCTCATTCGTGACCAACTCGTGTTATTCCGGGACAAGCCGAATAGCGACTCGTGCCCCTCTCGTGGCCATTTTTGCAACCGGGTTCCGTCTTAGCGCAAACGGGCATACCTAAAACAATTGTCAACTCGTTGCGCAATGGTTCACATATATTTCCCCATATATCATTTATATTTCAGACGCAATTAAAAGCACACCAGACATGCGAAATTATACAGTATGATTGAACACATTTAACTGTGTCTTGGGTATATTTTTAGATGCACGACATATGTAAAAACAGAAATTATTTCTGAGGGATTCTTTGTCGAAGAACTTGAAATCATACGCGCATTCTGATTGGTTTGTCGTATTTTCGCACATAAAATTCATCGATATGGGGACGAGTCTTCTTGCAGGTTACGGAAAGGGGCGAGTGGTGACGAATGTCGTCCCCCTGTCGCATTCGTCACCACTCGCCCCTTTCCGTAACCTGATATTCGGCTTGTCCCGGAATAACACGAGTTGGTCACGAATGCCGCTGTCCATGAATGTTATGTGCGAAAATACGACAAACCAATCAGAATGCGCGTATGGTTTCAAGTTCTTCGTCAACGAATCCCTCAGAAATAATTTTTGATTTTACATATGTCTTGTATCTCAAAATATACCCAACACACAGTTAAATGTGTTCAATCAAACTGTATTATTCCGCATGTCCCGATGTGCTTTAAATTGCATCTGAAATTATATAATATATGGGGAAATATACGTGAACCATTACGCAACGAGTTGACAATTGTTTTAGGTATGCCCGTTTGCGCTAAGACGGAACCCGGTCGCCATGAGAGGGGCACGAGTCGCTATTCGGCTTGTCCCGGAATAACACGAGTTGGTCACGAATGACTCACAAGGTTACATATATGCAATCTGCAGGTTCCACTTATTATATAAGTAACATTTGACGTTTGATGTTACATATTTCCGCACATGTCCTTAAGTTAGCACTGTAATGTGTGTTATGTGGATTGTGTTCTAGTGCAAAATTATTCTGATGGAAGAGAGGAACTTACTATAGAAAATCCCCGAGACGAGCTGAAAGGTAGTTCCACGAAAAGAATGACCCGTAAAATAGGTTTATACGATACTTTAATATATACCAAAGTTTGGGCATTGATGTCACGCTTTACTGCTGACAGAGACCATATACCGACGTATAAAAATACTTTGCCTCTCGTTTTTATTGAATAGATTCGTCTTAACGCTGCGCATCAGTCAGACGTATTCCCAGTTGGAACCACGCTGAAGACTTATTGCCTGAAAGTAGGTAGAGAAGCATCAGATATCCAAAATCACAACTGTGCCTTGTAGGTTATGTGGTACTGAAGATACTGCACACGGACTAGCATCAGGTGCTCCCCGACGCTAACAACCTTGCAAACCACGATCCCCCTTATAGCCCCTCGTTTATCTTTGTTTGGCGAAATCTTTTGTTTTTTCTTGAATACTGCTGACAATTCCTGGTTCATATATAAAGTTATAATTGTTAATACTCCGCTTTCTATTTCATCTTTCCATCTTTGAATTTGTAAATGTCCCCCGTTGGGACTCTGGTGTCTGGGACTGGGGTGTAATGATTCGGACTCTGTTCTCTGGTACTAGGGTGTCAATCAAACGATAATTTGTTTGTTTGTTGTTTAACGCCGCACTCAGCAACATTCCAGCCATATTACGGCGGTCTGTAAATAATCGAGTTTGGACCAGACAGTCCAGAGACAATCACATCTTACAACACAATATGTTGCTGAAGACCAATTCTAACCCAGATCTTCACGAGTCCAAACTAGATTAAACCAACAACGTTCGCATTATCAGACCCCCAGGCTCAGTAATAAGGGTACCCGTGAAGGTCCGGGGTAGAATAGGTCTTCAGGAACCCATGCTTGCCGTAAACGGTGACTTTGCTTGTCGTAAGAGGCGACTAACGGGGTCGGGTGGTCACGCTCGCTGACTTGGTTGGTGTCATTTGCGAGGATGGATGCTCATAACAATCACTGGATTGTCTGGTCCAGGTTCGATTATTTACAGACCACCCTCATATATAGCTGGAATATTGCTGAGTGCGGCGTTAAACAACAAACAAACAAACAAACAGTAATGAGGGTCACATTTGTATAAGTGTTTGTTCCACCAACACATGATATCTAACAAACACATATAAGGTGACATACTATGTGATAAGGTGAAATGGGGTTTAACATCATGTTAAATATTATTGCTTTAATATTCCAAAGTGCATGTGGCTGCATGTACAAGTCCGGGTTTTTTTATAGTGCAAGTCAACTGAGACACCACACACCATGAGTACCCCACTCAGACACAGTATACTGACTCAGAACCTACCGGTCATTGTTTTATCCCCTTAATGCCAGGCAGGGTAACAACAAGTAACAGGGGGACGGGTGGCCCAGTCGCCTAAGGCGGCGCGATTCGCTGTGCAGAGTTGCGTCCCTTGGGCACGCCAGAAACCTATGATTGTGGGTTCGAATCCCGGTTCGCCCCGATTATGTTTCTAGGTTTGTCAGCACCATACCCGTGCTCGTGGGTTTCACCGAAGTGGTAAACCACTGAGACCTGCATCACCTCGGGCTTTCCTCCCAAATTAAGCTGACACGCCGCGATGTAACTGGAATACTGTTAAAAGCGGCGTTAAACCCAACTCAATCATAGGTTTCTGGCGTACCCAAGGGACGCAACTCTACACAGCGAATCGCGGCGCCTTAGACGAATGGGCCCACTGTGCCCCCGGATATACTCAGAATATGTATTTTGTTGAATGGACTGTGTAAGGTGTGATCGTTGCTGGCCTGTGGCTTCCGAAAGTTACTGAACACGTAAGTAATATTGATAAACCTATGTTTTAAATGTGTGGTTTTCATTAAATGTTATTGCATTTTAACATTAAAAAACACCGACTTACGCTACATCGCCAAATATAATTCGCACATTCAATGAAATTCATAAATATAATTTATACCACCTCAGTACCTTTTTTTTTTACACCAGGACTTATTACCTGGTGACGTTATCCAGAAATCTGTTAATCCAGATTTGTGCAGAAAGACACGATATACACTTGAAATTTTGATTTCACCAACAAATTACAAACGTTATCAAACGTTATTAGGCTGAGAACAATCACCGAAACAATGCACAATTAAAGTCCAAAACACAACGATGATACCCGTATAAAATACACCACCATCGAATTAAAATATCTTGGTCTTTTTTCATTTCTAGCCATCTTCAAACATGGATGTATACTTTCCTCTGTCCGGTGTTACCAGATGACAGTAATACCTTCCTACAACCGGTAGTCAGGGCTGCAGCAGTAGTTTTCTCTCACGATTCGTTAAATTAAACTATAAGTACATGGGTTACCGGAGAGCTATCTAAAACACTCCAAAATCTACTGGGAGTTGTATCTAAGCTTGCGCTGCGTGTAAATAAAACGCACTCTCAATCTCCTTTTTTAGATGGATGTATTCCAAAATGGGAAGCGTTATTTTCGGGATTAAGCTAGGGGAGGGAGACTTTTAGAGGTTGTGAACACCCAACCAGATCACGCAACCCAAAATGTGATAGTGAGCTCATCGATCACAGAAACCAGCCCGATCACAGACACATCCCTGGCGGTCACACATGGAACTAACTTCCAGGCACTGTTGTTTTGTACGTTCGATTTAAGTTGCCTTTTACGACAGCTACCAGCTGCTTGTGATCAATTTCCCCCACTGGTACTCTTAATGCAGCGATACGTTGCCTGACTCCGTGTACAAAGTTGACCGCATTACCTTACCACGGGGCTAACATAACGCGCCTTGATTTAATGAAGTCGAAACTTCGTGGACAAATTTGTCTTCCCTGAAACCTCACGGTCCAGATCATGATAAATGACAACAGATTATGTATTTATGATGTAAAATGAATGTTAGTGAATGCTGTATACTGATTGGTTGAAAATCGACGGCAAATGGAACTTAAATCCCGGCAATAATTTGGACTATATACAGCGTATGGATACTTTTTGTGCTAAATGTAAATAGTCAAAAAGATTTAAATACGTGGTAGTCTATAGGCCGCATACAGATTGTATTATTTATGTCTTCAATTGTATTATCTTGTACAGGAACACAGGAGTTTTTACCCAACATGGGTACAATGTGTGAAGCCTATTTTGTTGTGTCCACCGCCGTGATATTGCTGGAATATTGCTAAATGCGGCTAGAAAAACATACACACTCTCTCACTTGAGTTCATATGGTTTGGCTCGACACAGCTGGAATATTGCTGAGTACGGCGTTAAACAACAAACAAACAAACAAACAAACATTCTACCCACACTTCGTGATGAGAGCATTACGCCAAACTCACAAGCTAATTTGCATATCACGTGACCGGACTACTCTCCTGTTTGTAAACAAACGCACCTGTGGTTAAAACAGACCAATCTTTTGGTGCTATTGACATATTGTCTTGCCTAATTATAAATATATTATACCAAAACCGCGACAGAATTTCAGGTTTGGGCCGGGATTTCTTACTAAAAATATAATCAAGCCCAAGTTTTACTAATATGAAATCTTATGTATGCGTCGATTTGTAAGAAAGAACAGTGTGCCCTTTTCTTGCAGAGAAATGTCCAAAGAATTCAGTTCGTTATTTGAATTAATTTAAAAGAAATCAAAATTATCACCGGTTTATGTTGGAAAACATAATTGAGCTCCTAAACAATTATAAAAAATGCTGAGCAAGGATAAGGACAGATCAGGAAGTCCGTGGTTCGAACCCCATCACGGTTGTATGTCCACTATACATGCACATGTAAATCGTTGTCCTTGCCAACCGCCAGCCTCATAGTCGGTCTAAGTATTATAACCTGGCCCAGGCCGCTTCACCACAGGTCGTAATGCCCACTGGGAGTCGGTGTGACTGTACTGCACGTGCTTCACGAAATTCACGTGGTTGTAACGTGACACAACACACTGGACGATGCAGCAGGACTGGGGAAGCTTTGCAATTGACACATTTAAAAAAGTGTCTCTATCATCGTACGCTGTCAATCAAATTCAAGAACTGTTTATCAGTATCACACCTTCGAATATACTTCAAGCAATACGTGCCTGTGTAAAAGCTACCGCATCGTCAGCTTTGTGTTTATTTGTTTGTTTGTTGTTTAACGCCGAACTCAGCAATATTCCAGCTATCTGACGGCGGTGTGTAAATAATCGAGTCTGTACAAGAAAATCCAGTGATTGACACCATGAGCATCGATCTACGCAATTGGGATACGATGACATGCATTTCTTAACAGATTCGATGAAACTAGGGCAACCAGAGGATAAATATGTAACTGGAAATAGTTTTCACGATATTCTCTCTATTAAAGTTAACCATTTCATTTCATTTCAGTGCTTCACAAGTGAAATGAACGATACAAATATGGACGAATCGTTTCTGACCAGTGGCTACCGTACGTTATCGAAAACGTTAATAAGGTCGATACGCCTGTGTTTCAAATTTGTGGTTTGTATTGAGTGTTATTGTATTTTAACATTAAAAAACACCGACTTACGCTACGTCGCCAAATATAATTCACATTCAATGAAATTCATAAACATAATTTTTAGTACCTTTTTCTTTACCAGGAGGTAATAAACTTATTGCCTGGTAACTTAATCCAGAAATCTGTTAATCCAGAATTGTGTAGAAAGACATGATAAACTGTCGGACAAAAGAAAGTATACACTTAAAAAATTGATTTCATCAACAAGTTGCAAACGTTGTCAAAACGTTACTCAGCTGAGAACAATCACCGAAACACTGCAACATTAAGGCCCTATCACCATCGAATAACCATTTATTGTTTGTTTCATTTCTAGCCACCATCAAAAACGGGTGTATACTTTCTTTTGGACGATTTTATCAGAAGACAATAACTAAATCCAGAAATCCATTAATCAAGATTTGAGAAGAAGCCATGATAATAATAAATTTTATGTTCCTACAACCTGTAGTCATGGTTCTTTTCTTTCAATTGTTAATTAATTTTGCTACTAAAAAAACCAATGCAAGATAATAGCAATAGTTACTCTACCACGTATTGATGGTGATTCGTTAAAATGAGAACTCCCAGCACGCGTATCACCTAAAAATAGATTACTAAGGATTAGTGTATAAAAAAAATCCGTTTTGACGTGTAAAGCTGTCGCAGGGCAAAGGTAGCATGGGACCAGTACATGTTTTGAACAGTATTTCATTTATACCATTGTGCCAGCTTGTGGGAGTATGATTGTGGACATTGTTACATGATCTCGCTGTGTGGAGTCTCGGGAAATCTCGCGGGTTAACAAATGACGTCACGATTGCTTGCTATCGATAAATAGATAAATGAGATCATCAATAAATCAGATCAAATCACAGTTACTTTCCGCTACCGCTTCCATAGACTAAACATTTCTTTATCACAGTAGGCGAAAATGAAGTAGGCAGACGAAATGGTGTGCCTTTAAAAATAACTTCTAACTAAATAGACTTCTTTTGCCGACCGGCCCTCTAATAACGGCGCAGTCATAACAAACGTTCGTTTATAAAGTGTCAGGTGTGATCTCAGCGTTAACGTTGACGGGTTTCATCCGTCTGTAGTGTTATATGTTGAGTGTTAGAATAATCTGCATTCATGACATAGACAGATTTCGAACCGTTTACGGTGTTTACCGACGTCGATATTTGATTAGGGGTTGGGGCCTTGACTGGCTCGTGTCTGGCGAGTATCGTTATGGCGGTGGTGGTTGGTTGGTTGGTTTGTTGTTTAACGCCGAACTCAGCAATATTCCAGCTATATGACGGCGGTCTGTAAATAATCGAGTCTGGACCAGACAATCCAGTGATTAATATCATGAGCATCGATCCACGCAATTGGGATCGATAACATGCATCAACCAAGTCAGCAAGCCTGACCGCCCGATCCCGTTAGTCGCCTTTTACGACAAGCATAGTCGCCTTTTACGGCAGGTATGGGTTGCTGAAGACCCATTCTACCCCGGAATCTTCACGGGTTGATGCCGGTGGTGACTGATGGGTGACGAATGACATCAACAGGCACGCGCGATTCACTGGATAAAGTCGAGAATGTTGTTCAAGCCGGGAATATTTCGGCTGTATAACGCTTGTCTAAAAATACCTGAGTATGACGCAGGTAAACCAGTGCTTGATGGCATGAGCGGCAATCGATACCCTGGGGCGCTATGACCTGTGAGGATCCGGGTTAGAATAGGTAACCATGCTTGCCGTAAAAGGTGACTATGCTTGTCGTAAGAGGAGACTAACGGGATCGGGTGGTCAGGCCCGTTGACTTGGTTGATGCATCGTATCCTAATTGCGTAGATTGATGTTCATGTTCTCGACTCGATTATTTACAGACGGCAGTAATATAGCTGAAATATTGCTGAGTGAGGCGTTAATCAACATTAAATGAGAAAGGTCTGTTAAAAACTACCTCAGTAAATCGGTCACAGTGAGTGAGTGAGTGAGTGAGTATGGTTTAACGCCGCTTTTAGCAATATTCCAGCGATATCACGGCGGGGGACACCTTAAATGGGCTTCACACATTGTACCCATGTCGGGAATCGAACCCGGGTCTTCGGCGTGACGAGCGAACGCTTTAACCACTAGGCTACCCGACCGCTCCTGGGTCACAGTGACAACACATCGTAATACATTGACATCAAGTACGAGGCGTCAAAATGGCCGACACGATAAAAGTGACGAGAGAGATTTCCGTATATCGTGTAAACCTCACATTAGAAACTATAACACTTTAACCACAAAACAAGTTGAAACATTCAACGGAAATATCTGGTTTTCATAATATCAACCTCAGCTGAGGCGAAGGGAGCCAGGGACACCATGAAGTTACGCCAAGTTGGCTATAGAAGTCCAGTGTACTTGGGACGGCTTCACGTGTTGTCTGGTTAAGGCGTCTTTAACCTCAGATTGCAACCGGTTCCAAGGTCACCAGAGGAAGCTGGGTCAAATATTTAAGAGCATTTTGACCTGGCCATGTGTGTGTGTGTGTGTGTGTGTGTGTGTGAGTCATGTATGTGTGTGCGTGTGTGAGAGAGAAGCTTGTGTGTGTGGTGTGTGTGTGTGTGTGTGTGTGTGTGTGTGTGTGTGTGTGTGTGTGTGTTTGTGTGTGAGAGAGAGAGAGAGAGAGAGAGTAAAACATTCAGGACATGGGAACGATATCAGCTGTGTTTATATCCATGATCGTTAGACTACACGTATATTCATTTCAAAACTTGCACTATTTGGACTAACACTAATTATACATATAACGTTACAACGTCACAAAAATCCTGACATTCTATGGACATCTAGATAAAGAAAACATCATCTCGGGTCAAAGGCTTGATCATAGTGAAATAAGTTCTTGACGATTGACAAACAGCCATTGACCCTCATTTGGCCTTGCTTATTAATTGGATTTTGTCAAAATTCCCAAACCTACACCTGTAAGAAAGATAAACATTGCAAGTTGTTAGCCATTTGAACGTTTTCCTGTCAGTATCTCAAAGGTTGCCTTTACCTTTAATTAGAACGTTTCTGGGGGGCAAAACGGGTCCTGGGCCCACTTGCACAAAGCAATCTTAGCGCTAAGACTATTGTAAGCCTATGTTAAAGTATAGGAGTTACGATCATCTTAGCGCTAAGATCGCTTTGTGCAAGTGGGCCCTGGTCCTACCACGTTCTTAAGAACTATTCCACCTATACCCACTGAGGGACATGGAACAATCGACTTCATATAGTGTTTGGGGAATCGGACCAGTTTTTTCTGAGTGAACTACAGGTTACCCAACCTAGAAATGGAACATGTTTGAAAAAAATGCATATCATTAGGCAGCAAGTCAAATATGGATAAGATGTATTATAAATATTGCAAATCAGATTCCCAGGCACTTTTGTATAAAGCCAGGACTTACAACGAACTTGGTACAATGTTAACAGAAATATACACGTAAACCAAGCGTGACTAGGATAATTGACATCGATGATGTGATGACAGTCACAGTAGCACAGGTGATAGCGAAGGCCTGCAAATCAAGAGATTGCGGATTCGTATCCCGCGGAGATTCAAGAAGTGTTATGTTCTTAAATGTGTTGCTGACGAATAGTATATCTCAATATCGGGTGAAGGATGAAATCCCCAAACCTCTGCTCCATAATTTAAAATTGGCAATACTTTTTATCAAAAATATGAAAACAGACACGAGCTGGGATTGTCGAGAATTTTCCCAGTGTTGATTGTAGTATTCGAACTTCTTTCCATGCCTGTTGTGCCAAAGTCTTTTGATTTTGAGTAAGATACCAAGAACCAGAGGACGATAACTGCACACCTAGATATTTATAACTAAGGACTATGTCAATGACAGAATCCCCAATCCTAAACTTTTCATAAGATCCAAGTTTGCCGCCATTCCTGAACACAATCACTTTGCTTTTTTGAGTATTAATAGTCAATTTCCATTGATTACGATATAAAGAAAGTTGGTCAAGACGTTTCTGTAGGCCATTAGCTGTTACATCTAACAAGATTATGTCATCTGCAAACAATACAATAAATAATTCCAAAGGACTTAAAGTTACACCGCGTACAGGAAACGGAAGCTAACAATGAAAGTATATCTAATTACAACGGTTTATTTCACTCCCCCCCCCCCCCCCCCCCCCCCACACACACACACACATATCACCACATACACACAATTCTTTTTCCCCATTAAACGCGTATGAGCCCAAAAGAAAGCCCCCCCCCCCCCCTTTTTAAATTACCTACCATAAAGGTATACGTGTCAAGGTATCAAGAAAGGGTATATGGATCTTTCTCACATTTACACCCTAAACACGTTTAGCTGTTAAACACAATCCTAAACATGTTAAGGCCTAAACATGTCAAAATAATGGGACAAGGAACGTGTTTAGGTTTGTGTTTTGGATCTAATCACTTTTTTCCAGCGTATAACAAATCCAAGACCCGCATCCGGTAGACTCTGTTTAATGAATATTTAACCTAGAATTAAACAAAAACATAACAATAAAACAGTGAAACTTGTAAATACCCTCCTCAAACATTGCAAGACCTTCCATCAGCTGTGGAGGGCGACTGTCCTGTGTCATCAGACGCCGCGCACGACCCCGGCCCTTGAGCGTTGTTTGAAGGGGCTACTAACCCTTAAAACAGCTGCCTGACATTCTCTATTATCACGTTGTATCGCAAAAGTAACATTCTTTGCATTGGCAACGCTGAGTTTGTGTTTGCATAAAAAATGCACTGGTTTGTGCATCCTAACCGATTTAACCCGACTGTGCCTGCCTATCGCGTGGATTTGATCAACGGTAGCGCCAAAACACGAACGCAACAAAATATCAATTATT